CAATCTGAGAGTGAAGCAAATGGATTAAAGTCGCTGTAACATAACCTGCAGAACAACCCAGAGGGCAAAGGTGAAGAATCACGAATCAAACGTACCTTCCTGTAATGGACTGTCTGCATGTAACGAACGAAACGTAGCAGACGTTCACAAATATACAGAACCATTGGAGCAATCACATACATCCAGGTCTAAAAGGGATGAGGAAAATACAGAGACTCAGTGACACTTTTTTTTGTACTAGTAGTTGTAGTAATTCAGTAGATTTAGGATTAGTGGTAGTAGATTAGTGGTAAAGGCTGAGGATGAACAGTGAAGAGTAAAGAAAAAAGATGAACCTGTGGGAACCCTCCTGCAAACTGAGGGATGGGACACTCAGGAATCAGTCCCCATTCATCACTGTGGTCTTTGCAAAAAGCGGTGTTGTGTGCTGGATCTGTTGTCTGTTGACTCCTCACAATGCGCCTGAAGATGAGACAGACAAGTGAAACCTGTTAACAATAACAGCATTCCATTTTAAGAAAAAGCTAGCTGAAACCTTTCCCTTACCCAGCTCCGTGAAAGACAAGTCCGACAAAGAAGATGATGAAGAGATGGTGCGTGTACCAGAAGACTTCAAAGTAGCTGCGTCTGATAACCTCCATGGAGGAGGTGATAATGAGGATGAGGGCCAGCGTGATCACGACACCTGTGAGGCCAGCGATGGTGGTAAAGACAAAGTAGGTTGGAATCTGCTGCGGATTCTGAGACACCAAGAAGAAGAAGAGTGAGACAACATGGAAACATGAGCTTTTCTTTACAAGAACAAGAAGAGGAAGATGACGGAAAAGATGGAGGTGAGAATGTGGACTCTCAACTGTTATTACTGATATTTTAAAGGTACATCCAGACAGCACAATTTTAGCCAAGCTAGCAGCATGGCTCTAGGGGTGGCAATATTGGTTAGCCTGTCTACCATTTTAGTCCATATCTCAAAAACATATTTGATGGATTGCCATAAAATGTTGTACATACTTTCATTATCCCTAGAGGATGAATCCTACTGACAGGGTGATCCCAAATCCATCCAGTAGTGTTGAAATTTCTCAGCTATTATTGAATGTTTTTTTCATGAAATTTGGTACATACATTCACGTTCCCTTCAGGATGAATTGTATTAACTTTGGTGATCCTCCTTTGGAAATCCTGATTTAATCCAGCGCCATCATCAGGTCAAAATTTCAGTATATCCAATACTTTAGTTTGTTACCAATTACTAACTAAACTAATGACACTCACTCATTATCCTCAACTGTACTTTGTGTTTGGTGCTAATTAACACATATTAGCATGCTACATTTGTAGTAAGTAACTAGTACATTTATTAAAAACGTCTAATTCAATGCAATTTTGAGGTTCTAGTGACATTGTTTGGAGTGTTTCCACTATGAGAGACTTCCAACTTTAATTTCTTCATATTTTGTAGGAAAACATTTATCTGACGGCTAATTTATGGTTACAGCTTCAAATTTAGATTTACCTTTCAATATGAATATTGGCATGTTAAAAATCCTTCTTCAAACAAGTACTGTGAAAAAAAAGCCTAGCTTCAGCCTAAAGACAGATGATAAACAAACAAAACCTCAAAAGCAAGAATTTCCTCAAAATTGTAGATATAAAGGGATTTTGTATCTCCACATTTCTCTTTCTTCATTATGGTAGTTTTTTTATAATGAATTATGTAACTTACAAGGTCTGTTATGCGGACTGGGTTGAGGTAGGTGGTGTTGTGTGTGTCCGCCAGGTTGGAGAGAGCAGTACTGAGTTCATCATAAACTCCTTGTCTGCTGTTGTTGAGCCACTCCACATTCAACAGATGAGCGATCATATGAACAGCTATGAGGACACAAAGAGGTGACACATTTTTGTTTGATTTATGTTATATGTTTCTTGTATTTTCTTGTTTGTTGAAGTATTCATTAACACATCCACCCAAATCTACACCTATAGTACAGATAAATTAAGTTGCATTCAAACTAACTTGGGCTGGGCAATAAAACAATAATGATAATTATTACAATATAATTTTACTCAATAAGAATATAACAAATCACAAACTAATTAGCACTTTTCTTCTATTAACATATTTATTTTGTTGAAGAAAAGGTACTGAAAAAATATTTACTAATCATATGTGTATGTAATATTTTATCATAATTGTTTTGGATGTTGTACCTCAGATTTGTGAAGTGATCCACGGTTTGGCATCAAGTCTTTGTCATTTTCAGACCATAAAGAATAGTTTAAAACCACAATTAAACATCTGGTTTCTTCAACTTTCACTCAGGAGCAAAAATCAGCCTTTAAACTTGAAAGAAATAATAGTGTCATTTATCGTGAAAATTATCGACATTGATTTTCTGGCCATATCACCCAGCCCTATTCCTAACTTAAATGTTGATAAAAGAAGCCATTTCTATAGATATAACTTAACCAATTACTCATATTTATCTTTAAATGAAGTTATTTGCTAAGGTTTTTTAAAATGTCTGCAGGAGAGAGGCAAACCGTAACCATTTGGGAATATTTAAGCAAAACATAAGCTCACCTGTCATCAGAGCTATCATGTATGCCACCAGCTTGTGGAAAGTCAGATTTTTGTCTAGTTGTTTCCTCATTGTTCTGCCACAACACTAAAAAGACAAAGAAAACAAAATTGGCAAAGAACTTATTTCCAAAGCAAAGTCACTGAAACCCAACTGACCTGTCTTTTGAGAGAATTGAGGGCCTGGGTGATACTATGGAAAATGTATTTTGGTTGGATTTTCCACACAAGTGTGTTGTGAAAACATAAGGGTTAGGACTGTCAAACTTGCCACGCAGAAATTATTATTGAAAAACATTTTTTTGGATACAATTACTTTATTTGTCTAGCACCTTTCATGCAGTCATGTCAGAGAGTAAGTGCTTTGCAAAACTATTATCAGCTATTATTAGAAAGGAGGATCCTAAGTTAGCAGAAACATAGACGAAGATAACAAAACAACAACTTTAAAACGTGTTAATAAAAATGAAATGCAAAGAACTTAGTTTGGTGGGAAAATATGGGGCATGTTCAGCCTGAAAACACTCCACCTTTAAAAGACAATGACTGTGTTCAGTGCGCCTCGCCCGCTATGATCTTACCACAAAGGAGCCCCGGAGCAGAGACAGCAGGTTCCTGCACACCGGTAGGAGGATCAGCATGCAGTTGAAGTTGAGCACAGCGGCAGGAGCTCTTGCCCAGGGTAAGGCATGCTGAAATAAATCAATAAAAATGTATGGATGTGTTCATACACTAATTAGGCTATAATTATTAACCAAACGTTGTCAGCTGATGTGTTTTCTATTTTTTAAGGCCAGGCATGGCTATGTCTCTGAGTTTTTATGCGCCAGGGCGCAGACTGAGATCCCTTGGTCCCTTAGCCGTTTCACGGTTTAGGCTGAAAACTAAAGAGGGTCTTTGCTGTCAAGGTTCCTGAAACAACCAGAGGAGATCAGAGGAGATCAGGCTGGCAGTGTCTGTTACCGCGTTAATCTCACTTCTAAAGACACATTTTTACAAAAGCTTTTACTGTGATGCCTGCTTTTATTTTTTTTCCGTAGGCTAATTTGCATATTAACGTAGGCTATGACTTGTGTTATAACTTGATGTTTTATACTGATTGTTGTAAACAACTGTATGATGCCAATTTATTAAAATTTTATTTTGACTTATGTATGTGTTTTGTATATAGGCCTAGATTGTAGTGGGCCTACTCTTATTTTTGTATTTCTTATTTTATTCAAACTTGTTTATGTTTAACATTGATTGTTGTAAAGCAGTTTGTTGCCTGTATTGAAAAAGCATCCTATACAAATAAAGCGATTATTATTATTATTATTTTCGTCACTCACCCCCAAGAGATGGCGCGTGTAGAAAAAAGAATCCCCCCAGTAGTATCGGAGGTAAAAAAAGACGAAAAGGAAGATGTTGATGCCCATCCAGACCACCTGCAAACACAGCCAGCATTATATTTTCATCACAAAATTAGTCATTCATTTAAAAATATGCATTAAAATCCTAGTCTATTTGCGTAGAAGGTGCAGGAGTTTAGATATTGACATTCATAGTTTTTGTTGGTCACTCGGTATTTTGCGCACAAAACATGTGCGCAAACTCTCACTCTTGTCACGTTTAGCCCTCTTTGCGATTTGAAAAATGAAATTCCCGAAGTGCGACTGTAAAGAACTCACCAGTATGAAGGATGAAAGTCCATTATTGATAATCCAGTTACCCATGTTGAGCACTTTATCTCGACTCGCAGCATCTCCAACCTGCTTGCACTTCTTATCTTATAGCCGTGCTGTCTGGACCCCTCCCTCCCTCCTCCTCAGGTGTACAGCCTACAGGTGATGAGACACAAGGATACAAAACGTGCAGCTAGCGAAATTGTGTGGTGGGGGAACTTTAGAGATGTCTCACGCCTGAGAGTTGAATGACCACATTCCAGTTTGCTGGAAAAACAAGTAACCTAGTGAGAATGAGGAAGTGATGGCGCTTAAGCACGAACCATTATTTGGAGGTATTTCCTTCTATTCAAAGCCAGAAGCATAAAACGTTTGGGAAACGCAGCGGACGTTTATAAATGTGGTGGCCATTCTTAATATCTGCCTAGCTGTCTGAAAGTTCCACCTCTTATGTCTGCATTGAATTTTGTCCTGCATCATTAATGACTGAAAATATTTTGGAAAACAGGATTGTTCCGAGTCCCAGAAATTTGAGTTATGCTTGGATTATGAACAGTCGCCCTCCTCCCCTCTTAGGCCCTAATGCCTATTTTTAGGTATCTATTACTCCACACAGGAAATTTTATCCTGCTGGACTGTGACTCAATTAGTTTTACAGGAAAAATAAAGTTTTGTTGTGTGTTTGACAGGAAGGAGTGAGTAGTCTTGTTTCATTTATTTTATTTTATACACAGAAAGAAATGCAAAAATGAATGTGTAGTGATCAGAGTATTTATTCATTTATTTCTTCTTCAAGTAAAACAGTAAAACAACAAAAAAAAAATAAGCAAACTGTGAAGGTACTTCAATAAAGATGATGTCAGTCTTGTTAATGCATCAACGTTAAGGTTAATTTTAAAAGACACACACCTGATGTTCCCTAAAAGGATTTAACAATTTAATATTTTCACAAACTTCTCAGATATTTCCTCACATTTCTTTTGCAGAATTAAAACCTGTTTGTTTTTAATCAAGGCATCCAGATGGGACAGTGAACACAAGGCATTCATCACAGCAGGTTTATGCAGTTAGGTATGACAAAAGATAAATTCTTCTTCTTTTCTTGCCCTTCTGCTTTATATAAAAAAAAGTCTGTTTAGTGCAAAAGGGGGCGTTCACGACGTGAAAACCCTGAGAGGAAGTAAACTGGAGGTGTACCGCTCAGTCTTTCGGGGACTTAGAACACACTTGGCAAGTTTCCCGCACACCTGGCTCCGTCCTGTGAATGACCCACTGCTGCTTTCTCAAGGCGGCCTTTGTGCATAGCTGCATATCTCAAAATGCTACATTCTTTGGTATACTGGAGCCTTGTGGTGCGCTAAGTGTGCATAACCATCCCTGATAATAACATCAGGAGTTAACCGAAAACCCTCACAGAAGCATGAATCAGTAAAGTTTTGCGCACTTAAGAGAAAAAGGGAAACGTTTGTTCTCCAACACATCACCTCACCAACCAAAAAACACAAACTCATTCTGGATTTTGTGTTCAAGGACCGGAGGTCTCATTTATACATTAGAGAACTTCATTTAATTCCCCATAAAGCCCTTCTCAGGCTGCCTCCATCATGTCTTCAATAATAGCCGTCTCCCGCTCTCCCAGCTGAGTGGCAAGGTCAGGGGGTTCTGAGTTTTGGGGGTCCAGCTGCTCCATTGGCTCCTCCTGCACCAGCAACATAGTGGCAGCAGTAGAGTACGAGGGAGGCAGGTTCTGTTGTCCAGCTCTCGCTGCCCTCCTTCCTTTATGGCAGCAGACGCAGTGCAGGCAGTCATGGACGTTGTACTTGAAGAGGCGTCTGCAAGGGTGGCAGAACTGGTAGAAGAGTAGCATGAACAGCACGGCCAGGCTGTAGCAGATCAGAAGCTGGACCGCCAACAGCGGCGCGCACACATACTCGTAGAAGTCCGACTTGAAGAAGTACCAGAGTGTAATGAGGAGGAAGTTCTCAAGAAAGCGTGCGCAGTAGTAGATAGCCAGGCGGTCCCAGCGCTGCTTCCTCTCAATAAGCTCTCGATGGGAGAGGTCCAGCTGCACCGCCGACCAGCAGAAGATGTTGATGCAGGCGTAGAGCAACGTGAACATGCATAGCACCACTATGGTACCCAGCTTAGAGAAGTTTTTCTCCAAGTCCTTAGTCAGCGAGCCTTTCCTGGCCCAGAACTCAGCCCAGGGGAGGAAGAAGAAGAAGAGCAGGTTAGCCATGCCGACCAGGATCACCCAGTGTGTGAGCGCCGTGCTGAAGAGGACCAGAGCGGTGATCCGGGTGGCAATCTCCAACCCTCTCCACACAATCATGCACAGGTAGGCTGCAGGGCGCAACCGCACCTTGTAGTCATCGTACCTGATCTGGATGGCTAGAACGTTGCACACGAGGGCCCCATATACGACGGAAATCAGTGTGATAGCCATCAGAACACCTGTGAAAACAAACAGACGTTATCTATTGCACTTTATCAGTACCATTACATCACTGCACTGTAAAAATGTCATTATAAATGCTCTCAACCACAGAGAACTTGTATTATCAACATAAACATCCCAATTCAATACATCAATCATCATAATTGACTTTCACCTCTTTTGGATAACAATGACCTGGATGACTGAGAACCTTCACATACAATTCAGTACAGCAATATATTCACTTACTGTAAGCTTATACCTGCAAAACTAATGATTCTAAACTATGATTGTGAACATGGTAAAAATTATACCTGCTTAACATCAGCATGTTAGCATTGTCTATGTGAGCATGTTAGCATGCTAGATTTGGTATTCAGCTCTACAGCTGGAGGGGTGTGTCCAGGGAGTGACTGGGGAAATCCCCGCGGGCCTTTCACTATGTGGTAAAACAGAAGACAAAAGGGATAATGTAGTAAAGATCCCCAATTTATTTTACTCCTTAGTTTAGAATCCTATGTCCATGTTTGTGAAAAACTTTAAACTTAATCTTTTCTTATTGAGATACTTGAGATGGACATGTGAGTTTAGTGTCTTTTCTTATGTTGGCTTTCTTTCAGATTAAAGAACTTATGTGTGTATTTTTCCCCGATTATGCTGACAAATGCAACCTTTAAGTTGGAAGAAATAAAAAGTTGTTCAGAGGATTTCCCAAGTTTCCTGGCTTACTTCTATGCATTCTGACCGATGCCCCTAATGATGATAGTAAATGTACCTTTTGAACCTCCTACTTTACAGATAATATGGCTAATATGAGCATGGTTTGGCTAGATGGTTATTTAGCTATAACAGTGGCTTTTGTTGAAACATCGGTCACTTTTTGTGAACCAACCAATTACAGCCTGGATGGGAAGGGACATTAATTAAAAGGTTGAGGAGCTACAGTAAACTTTGGAAGTGTTGAACTCATTGTTATGCATTAATGGTTATTAGGGATCGACCGATATGTTTTTTTCTGGGCTGATCCTGATTATTATTAACCAATTAGATGATGACTGATGTATGGGGTTGATTGTTATGTAGTTTGTATGATGCTTTGGCAATATTGTTGTTACACATTTATGCCATTAAAACTAATTTGAATTGAATGATATGTGGAATCGATATACATTTGCTGTAAAGTTTTTAATCTGGGTGTCAAAATTTAGAATAACAAACTCACAAAAAATTTCAAATTACAGGATTAAAGTTAATTGTCATGTTTCATCTTTATAAATAGTAAATTAAATGAATTAGAGATCCATCCCAGAGATGTAATTGTTAACTATGAGTGCTTAATTAACATAAACTTTGTCTTTACCTGCTACCATTTATAGTGTATTTATTTTATATTGTTAGGATTTTATTGATACATGTATTGACACTATTTATTTGTTCTGTTCTTTATCTATACTCTTATTGGTTTTTCATTACTAAATAATTGCCTTTTAAATAAAGAAATAAAGAATAAATTGAGAACAGTAATCAAAATTAATATTATAAACTGTTTTCAGAGCAGCAACAAATGTAAAGTTTACATCAGCAAAGTCACAATATAAAATCAGTATCTCATTGGAAACAAATGGAACATGTAAAATAAACTATATTCCTGACATCAAAATACTGACTAGAGTTTATAAAGACGACATCAGTCAGTCGTTCCTCCTCCTCCTCCCTCTGCTGCTGCTGGTAGAGAGGAGCCCTCCTAACTAGCTCCATGCATCTTCTACTTTTTGCTTTACTAAATTTATTGTTATAAAAATTTTTCAAATAGTCTTGTTTACATGAAGTGAGGCGTGGGTTGTGTGGGTGCTGCTGGTGTTCCCAAAAGTCCCACATGCCACAAGCCGCAATGCACCAATCACAGTAGAGTTTTCACTCATCACTGTGATGAGTGATCAGTGTTTTAAAAAGCTGTGTCCATGTGTCAAATATAAAAAAAAAAAAAAAAAAAGTAGATATGAAAAATAGTAATTTAATGTTATTCTGATGTGCGTGTCTTAAAGAGCTGCCAACATCAAAGAATTTCATGATTTCATCACTTTTAGAGGCATTTCAACCTTGCTAAGAAAAAAACCCAGATACAACACTGTAAAGTAGTGATACTTGTAACCTTAACACCATTCTTACATCTTGCAGGGAGGAAGTATTTCTCCTGGATGGTGGCATACAGCTGGAGCGTCAGTTGAGGCGTGGAGCCCAGAAAGGCCTGGATGACTGCGGTGCGTTTGAAGGCGTTTCTGTGAGTGGCCAAGGTGCGCTCCGTTTGTCCGATTTCCCACTCCATGGGCATCCCCTGCCCCTTCTTCAGACTGAACTTCCTGGAGATAGTGACGTAAGGCTCCTCCCTTCTACCCGCCTTGAAATAGACAACCAGAGCCTCGATACACCTGAGGACGTAATAAGAATGACAGAGTGGAGTAATGTTTTCCCACCAACAGAGGGCAGTGCAATGTTATGTTTAAGTTATGGGACACCACAAGGGGATGTTATGATGCCTTGTGTTTGAACATCCCATTTACTCATCATAGTGTGAATATGTGGGTAGTAAAGTAAAACACAAGAGTGGAATAAAGCAAAGTATCAGGGTTAATATGTCAGCAGTTTGTTGTTGCAGCTTGTTTTCAGTCCAGGAACTTAAAATTAGACATACAGGTAATATAACATCGATCTTACAAATATTAGCTCATTAAAAGGTGCTCATCATAAAGAAACCTTTCTTTGTTTTCTTACAGCTAAACAACCACAGGCACAATACTGAGAATCCACCAAAGGGCTGCCAGAAGAAAGAATACAGTTCTCTGAAGCCTGAATGGATACACTGGAAGTATCTGGGTGTGGCTCTCCTAGTGTTTGCAAGGTAAATGTGCCATGTGTTTGTCACTGCAAGAGGTTTCTGTGCAAGAAGTGTAGACTGCTAACTGGCTTTTGTCCCAAATTACACAAAAGCTATATTCATGCTATAACAAGGAAACTACCTCAACTGGAAGTGCAAGGTTCCCACCTGCCAGAAACAAAATATATAATCCCTGAATCCTACTTGTAAACTCTCAGAGCTACACATCTGCGCTCAACAGACAAACACAGCCATCTGAGGATTCACACTGCAGCAATAAATCTCCCATCACTGTGTAGGAATTTAATCTTCAGCTCCATGTTCTCCAACTTTGGACATAAGGCTCACAGGCTCAGGAATCCCACAGGAATCTGCTTCTCCATGGTTTAACTATGTGCCGCCCTGACTCTTCAGAGACTGTTGCTTCAGCTGCTGCTAGTGGGGGGCTGTACTCTTTACTTACAGTGTAAATACAACACAGTGCCAAACTTCCACACTAGCCCTGAACTGTGTTTGACCCAAATGTTAGAGGCTGACAGGGAAAATCTTTGTCGTTATTTAGAAGCCCGCTGTTATCTCTACACTAGCATACTTAATACCAGACTGATAGCCACCAGCAGACGAGGGTCTTTCAGCTTTAGTGTACAAAGTCTACAATAAAGTAACAGCAAAGGCACAAAAACCTGATTTATTGACATCCTTTCCCTGGAAATCTGGCAGCACAATGGGCTGAGGACGCAGTATGAGGGTACTGAACTTGAGCCAGCATGCACTTAGGATTCTGTAAAGCGACTGAGAGGCAGACTCAATTTCACTTAGGGGAAGGGGGAAAAAACAGCATTACTGACAAATGCATTAGCCAAGAGAATCAATGTGCTGACTTCCGAGCCTGCGTCTTATGGATTTATAAATGGACATACACAGGCTGCTGCGCTGGATTTGCAGTCTGAATACACAATCTGTTCCACAGTGTGTGAACAGAACCACAGTATGGTGTGACAAATTCCACATGAATGAAGAGGAACTGCCTTTAAAAACAACAACATCTGAAATACTGATATTGAAATACTGACATTCCCTGACTAAAGGGCAGCAGAGCATTCAGGAACTTTTTTTCTACAGCCCTTTAGCAAGACTATCATGTGTGTCTTGGGATTACTGCAGCCGCCTGTGGAGAGTTTGTCAAACACAAACAAGAAGCTCTGCAAGCTGAGACTGGTCCAAGCTGATAGAGTAATTATGCTGTTTCTTTTCCTGCTTTGGAAGCAGGATCATATATTTAAAGAGAAAAGTCAAGACAAGACAAGTCAAGGTCCACCCTGTGGCAGATAATCCTTCCCCTTCTTTAAGTTGGATATATTGACTGCGTGGATGATCCTGTGTCATAACATCTTCTGGTGGACTCAAAAACAACTCAAACAAGGCTCATAAAGAATTTCTTTGCAGTTATCTAATAAAAATGTGAGTCAAAATTCTGCTTTTGAGAGTGCACATGGTATGTTTGACTGTACAGCCACAAGATCAGCAATTACACCATCCCCGAGTCACACAGGAAACCTCCCATCTGAGCCAAGAAGGAGGTGTTTGTTTACAGCAGCACAGCCTGGAATAAGATAAGCTTTACATAAAACAGAAGAACAGAGTGCATAACACAACAGAATGAAATGCTCTGTAATGACAATCCCGCCATTTGTTTTCTGGCCTTGCTGCCACATTAAAAGCATGCTGTTCCAGATCAGTGTGATACAGTGATGGTAACAGCACACACTGGAGATGCAGCCAGCTCGGTTGCATAGACTCGCTGTTTCATCGGTCATAGCCGTTTTAAATTCTTAGGTGGAAGCGTTAGCAGGGGCATAGCAAAAAATCCTGCACCCTGTACGGAGGCATTCACCATGGGCCCCTCCCCACGGGCCCCTCCCCACATCCACGGTTATTCATTATAGTATCTTTATAGGCCCTTCTCACGTAAGGACCCTGTATACTCTGTCCCCCTTTCCCCCCAGTTCCGGCGTGACTGTAGACTTTTGTGTCCAAGCTCCAAATTGATTTTTAGGCTCTTACAAGAGAACTCTACCAATTTAGTATTGTACAATTTAACAGTGTTGGACTCACTGTGGGTAAAACCTGGCACCTACATAACCTACACTGAAACTCTTCCACCAACAGTTTGGTCAGAGATGTTAGGCAGTTAGCCTCAAGCAGAGATGAGGAGCGGGATACAGAGATCTGGTGAGCTCACGCCTTTCTAACTCCACACCTCACCTGGCATTACTAGACATGGCAAGTTAGCAGACATCACAGCGCTCCCCCTGGAGCCACAAACGACTTTATACAACCCTTTATTTATTTTTTTAACGTATGCACTAGTGGCTACACCCTGCAAGTCTGCAAACAGACTTGGATCTGTAAAATTGGTGGAGTTCCCCGAGTTATAAATAAATTTTTGAGGCCAACACTGATATCAGTATTTGAGATAGTGATGGGTCGGCGGCGGCGGTAAAAAAAGAAATGCATGACAATGAACGAACTGCACTTTGGAACAGAGCTTTAAAAAGTTTTTGTTTCATAAAATATTATACGAATTTAATTGAAATATACTGTATGTAATCATTTGTTAACCATACCATTTCATTAGAAGGGTGTTATTTTCAAACAGGATAGTTATTCTGCACATATCCTACTTTTTAACCATCAATATGCCAGAATATTTGTGTATTATATGTACTGCTGATGAAGCGTCTTGCATATTTATTTCTTGCAACAAATCAGGATCTAACTGGCAGTACCAGCAGAGGTAAGTACTAAATGAAGAGCCATTTAGATGCCAAAAGATGCTGCTCTCGGATAGGAACGGAGCCATAAGATCCGGCTCCCTTCAAAGAGCTGTAATTCCCGCCACTAATTTGAGAGTTCAGATAACAATGTTTCAGCCAATTGTCTATTTTTTATAAACATATAAACAAACAATCTTGATACAGTGCATTTAAATTTGAGAGAATTGTGGCCAAGGTGCATAATAAGGAGATTATTTTACAGTTGAAAAATAAACCTGTGTTAGCTCAAACTCCTCAAACCCACTGAAAGTTTAAGCAATGCTATCTGCAATTAGACAATATCGTCTGATCTAGTGGTCTAGCTGTTAATCATGATAATAATAAAAGCCTCTATGGAGTTACTTCTGTGTCTTTATTATGCAATCAAAACATAGGCTTGAGAGCAAAACTATAGACATTAAAAATGTCTTGCAAATCCTACGGTGCCCTTCCAGGTCAGTGCGTCCAACACCAAACCACTTCAACTTCCACACTTTGTTTTCTGAACGTAAAGTAACACATTGTCCATGAAGTTCAGTTCAACACTTCTCAGCTATAGGCCACATCGTTGACATGGAAAACTATATGCAAACTGAATGTTCATTCTGTTTTCTGAGCACTCGCACTTTGGACTGAATTTGAAGATGTAGGTGGTCTCTTGTAATTACATGCGTAGCTTTATCTCCACTGTGTTAAACAGATATTTATAGAACTGTACCTGACCTTGGTCCAGTTAACTGTGGGAAATGAAAATACGTATTTAACACCATTCGCCTTCTGGTAAATACACTTTACATGTGTTACATTGCACATGGCACAAAAGGCTTTTATCAAAACTGGTAAATCAGGAATTATGTGAGCCTGGGTTTCTTGTGGCTCTCCTAGATCTTCATCTACATATCTTTATCTGCATACTTATATCGGCAAACTGTTTTGAAATGTATTGGGTGCCTCATATTTTAGCCTCCACTGAAAGCTGAGCAGCAAATCAGGTTATTTATTTTTATGCCTTTTAGCAACACATACTGCAAAGCATTCTTCCTGAGCTGAAGACAAGGTTGAATTTCCTGCTCAGCAAAGGAACACACCCTTATAGTAAATTGAGAGCAGTATCTCAGGGCTCAAAGTTGACATATCAAAGTTCACACAGAGACAGAGAGAGACAGAGAGAGAGAGAGAGAGAGAGAGAGCTCAAGTCTCCCCGCCTACACCTTCCTACATGAGTCACAGTTCATCAGGCAGATTCTCACAGCTGAGACCAACTGAAACTGAAATGCAAAAACAATGCCTCCCTCAACAAGTATGTTAATAGAGTCTTCAAACATTTTAAAATCTTCCTATTTAGAACACTTATTTGCTTCTTTTTCTAAATTTGTGCCGACCTGTCACATTTCCTTTCCCGCTGCTTTGATTTGCCAAGAATAAAATCAAGCTATATTTCTTGAAGGCTTTCTGGGCAACACGTACAGCCCCTGTCTTCCCTCTCTGTCCTCCTCAGACAGCCAGGCCTGGTCAGCGGTCTGTCTGGCGTGCAGCCCTGATGCCTTTGGGTGCTGATTATCCTGAGATGAGGTCATATGACTGGCCATAAACGCAAAGGATGTGTGCAGTGTCATTTGACAGACAGGTTTTAGAGTAACCACAAGGGATACAACAGGATGTGACCACACCATCAAGGAAGACTTCAAATTAAAAGAAGCTCAGGACTCATATCTTGATGTACATCCCCATTCAACACTTTGGATGATGTGGGAGGTTGTTGTGTTCAGTCGTCCCTCCTGTTCTTCACACTGAACAGATTTAGTTGATGAATCACACTCCAGTTCTCAGTTGGTGTTATGTAAGTTATGATGCTGCAACAGTCGATTACAAGGAATGAATGTGTTTCAAAACATTTAGTTGATGAACTGCAAAGCTGATTGACTGCTTTAAGTCAGCCAGTGTTAGGGCTGCAACTTACGTGAATTTTCATTATCAATTAATCTTCTGATTATTGTTTTGACTATGAAACATCCAAAAATAGAGAAGAAAGTGCCCAGCACAATTTTCCAGAGCCAAAGGTCTTGTCTTGTTTGCCCAAAACACCCAAATTTACAATATATGAGGAAGAAAAGAAGCAAGTCCTCTCATTAGAGAAGCTGGAGTCACTATTTTTGTGCCTGAAACTATTAACCGATTATTGAAATAGTCGCAGATTATTTTTCTGTCATAGACTAATCCATAAGTCACTTCAGCTCTAGGCAAATTTCTTTTAAAAAAATAAGTCAGCTCCATCATTATAAACATCTGCAGCATCATGTCTGCTCTCAAAGATCCTTGTAATGCTTTTAAGCAAACATAAGCACTGTACTGTAAACAGAGGCTGAATGTCTAGTGAGATGGATAACTGACTACAAACAAAACACTACGATGTAGGGCTGCAACTAACGATTGTTATTATCGATTAATTTGCCATCTACTGAATGCTTTGTCTCTAAATGTCTTGTTAGAAATGTCCCATAGCCGAATGTACCCTCTTCAAATGTCTTGTTTTGTCAGACCAACAGTGCAAAGGGAAAATATAACCAGCAAATGTAGTCTCTGCAACAAAAAATAAACTAAAACCATCAAACGGTTATCAAAATAGCTGCTGATAACTTTCTGTACATGTACATTGATTATTAATCATTCCAGCTTTTAGAGTAATGACTTTCTTTTTGGGACAGCATTGGAAATATCTTAATTTTGCTCTGATTTTTTGCATGTTTTACTACACCACATCTATCCCTGGCTGGCTGCAACGTCGGACAAACACCTGCAAGTATGAAGTATATAACGGAAAGGTATCACGATTTATAGTGAATTGTCCTTTAACAACCACGCCCGCGTGTTGCACCATCTGACCCTCACCTACCTGATGACAGGGCCGAGCAGCAGCAGGTGCAGGAACAGGACCAGAGGCCGGTCCCGACCCAGGTCTCTGTGGATGAACGTCAGCGCCAACTGAATGAGCACAGCGGGCAGCAGCATGAAGGTGATGGTGAAGCCCATCCAGATTTCGTCGTGGGTCTTGTGGTACATGCTGCAGAGCACGGCGGCGGCGGCGAACTCTGCGCAGTAGAGCACCGTGGCCAGCACGACGCTGAAGGGAGGATGGACCCGGCTGTGGCAGACCACCAGCATGACTCCGTTCTCTGCCACCGAGGGGCACTCCTGAGGGTCTATGTGCGAGATCTCCCTCTCCTGCTCCTCCATGGCCACTTCGCACATGATCTCGTTCACTTTGAATGCGAGAAACGACTTCGACGTTAAACTGCAACTCTTCTTGCCGCAGTGTGCTCAAAAAAACATCACTTTCTGTAAACGCTGCCTTTGATGCGTCGTCTCTCCCAACTTTCCACCAAGTTCACCATCGCTGGCTTCACATTGTGTTTGCCTTTACGACTCGGCCGAGCCCCTCGCTCGCCAACCAAAACGCTTATGTTTCACTGTCCGATGTATCGTCGTACGTGGCGTCACCACCCTGTTTGATTCACAGGAAACCACCTCAACGTCCGCAGTGATATCACCTCTCCTACCGCACCGCCAGCGAGCAGGATCGGGAAAGTTCAGCTTTGTCATTCAGAACAAAAATTCAACCAGACGATCATCGTCCAAACTCAGAGGTCTGCAGTTTGAAGTTTCAAAAAGCGTGTTGTTCCTTATTAAAAGTGCACCGAAGTTTCCTCCACAGTCTGGCTGCAGGGCGTTTGGGTCTCTCCGTGTCGGCATACTTCTGTGGCCGCTGGCAGGTCGTGTTTTCAATCTTTTTTGATGAGCTGGTAATGTATGGCAACGGCGTCAAGTCAGCCAGAAACACACGGGGCGATACCGGAAGTGATGGGCGTCTGCCTTCAAAGTAAGATGGATTAGAGAAAAGATTAAATAAACTTTACTCATTACTAAAGATATTCCTGTGAAAAAATAAATAACCATAAACAAATAAATTGACAAAAGATAATGGCTTCACATAATTAATATTAATGACAGGCATTGGAGGCAGAATATTTGATATGTTAAATATGTGCGCAAGAAAAGCAGAAATGTTTTGGACTGTCAGCTACCCTGGAAATAAATATATATAAGAAATATACGATACACATATTTGGTAAAATAAAATATACACAATAAAATAAAACAAAATTTAATAATGTAAAAGTAAAAATTAAATAATAAAAATTAAATAAAGGCAGGTGCAAAGTGCAAATAAAGGTGCAACACATTAAGAAGCTGCAGGGTATCGATTACAGTATTCCAAATTATAAGAAATTAATCAGTTGTACAGAAAGGTGGATTTACTGTGTTACATAAAATAAACACCTAGAAATAATCAGTTTAGATTAAAAATGAAAAAGACTAAACTAAATTATGTAAACCAGAGGGGGAGGTGCATCTGCTTCATAATGTAATGTTACAAATTGCAGGCATAGAAATAGTCTGTAATAATGGAAAATAGAAAAGAAAAACACTGGATGAACAGTTTGATTGTACTGCATGTGGAAAAGGGTATAAAAACTATGGGAACATGAACAGAAACAGTGGATTGTGTTTGAGGTATACATGAAAAATGAAAAGTGCACATTTGTGTGGTTCATAGTTGGGCTGTTTTGAAAGCACAACATGTGGTATCTTGCACAGGTCACTGTGGCTCTGAGTGCTGCTACTACTACTGCTGCTACTACAAGTACTACTCATACTACTTCTACGACTACTACTTAGAGGAGGAAATCAAAGTTGTAAAATGTCAAAGGTTACAATAACCAGTAAGAAAAAGGATCTATTGTGAATTAAGAAAAACACTAACATTTATATTTTACATTTCACGCTCTCTGGACTGCTTTTGCCAAACTTCTATTGATACATTGAGATAACACACTGTTGTTTTATTACATCCAGTGTTGGTCCCATCTAAATGGAAGCACTGTAGAGGTCAAGCTTAGAGAGATCAGTTTCTCTGCACTTCCATTTTTAGTTTCACCAGCTGGTTGGACGTGGCCTTGTTCTGGTGACCTGCAGGCCTGCGATTAAACAGGTGCAGCAGACACACACACACACACACACACACACACACACTGAATCAGCTTTTAAAACTTCACTCCATCTTCTCATTCACTGTGTACACCGACATTTCCTTATTATGTTACTATTTGTTAAGGCTACATGACCATTAGACAACACTGACATTTTGTGATGCAGGTGAACGGAGTCAGTTGTTTGATGTTTGATCAAGTACTTATGCAAACAGGGATTATATATTTGAAAGGTGCATAAGAAGAACACAATTTGCAGTGGCATACCTAACACATTACAAAATTATTCTCTGTGTTTCTTTGGTTGACGTCAACACAAACTTGTCACCTTTAATAAGTCCTGTCTTATTTTTACTGAAAAAGAAAAATCCATTTCTAAAAGTACTTTCAGTATGTTAGATGTGACTTGGCTGTCATTTCTCCTTCAACTACAAAACAACAAAACAAGTTGTACTGTGTATATTTCACTGTGAATTGTGGAATAGTTTCAACACAGCTCAACCCAAAGGTGTCTGCCACTTCCTGTCTGAACAGATCTAATCTCAGTCAGTGATATTGTGAAAGAGGTTGACACAAAGTATGAAGCCATGTCATTACTAATGCATGTGTTTGGTGAAACAGTGGTGTGGGTCAGTGACTTCAGACTGCAGAGGCTCTGTGTTCTGTGGAGACATGGGGAAGTGGAAGACGGAAACCTCATTACAGAGCAACAGACATGCCCAGTACATAGTGTTACCAGCCAAGCAGGTCAGGGTACACTGCTTGTCTGTTTCAGCGACAGAAATAAACAATTCATTCTGCCTTTTTTTGAACTAAGGGATAGTTTGACATTTCAGGAAATATGCTGTTGCTCAATTAGATGAGAAGATCGATACCACGCTCATGTTTGTATGATGAATATGAAGATACAACCAGCAGCCGGTTAGCTTAGCTTAGTATAAATCCACCTAACAGCATCTCTAAATCTCACTAATTAACATGTTATATCTCATTTGTTCAGTCTGAACAAAACATGTCACAGTCCCAGTCACTTCCTGGAATCACCACTGGTGGCCTGGGATATAAGGATTTGTAAAATCATGTATAGCATGTTAATTAGTGAATTTTGAGTGCCGGTAGGCAGATTCCTGTTACCTTTGGACAGAGCTAGGCTAGCTGCTTCCCTCTGTTTTCCAGTCTTTATGCTAGGCTAGGCTAACCGTGTCCTGACTGTTGCTTCATATTTATCACAAAGGCTTAACAATGATTTTGATCTTTTCATCTAACTCTTGGCAAGAAATCGGATTTCTGAAAATGTTGGACTGTTCCTTCTGTATGTTAACCCAGATTGCAAAATCAGCAGTTGGGGGTATGAATCACGTTTGCAATGTGGAGAACAGGAAAAGATGGGGGTGTGGTCCTCAGCTGCTGCTGTTTTTGCACTGTGTGTGTGTGTGTGTGCGCGCACGCGCGTGTCTCAGTGTCAGCTGATACAGGGCAGTGGTCAGAGTCTGGGATGAGTCTACTCAGCAGAGGAGGGCAGAGCCTGATTGGACATTGGTTTAATGACATAATGAGATCAGGTCTGCACACAAACCATTGCTCCAGGTGTCTGAAAGCTGTATAGTATAATTTCATTATAGCTGCAGAAGCTCTGCTCCTTAGTCCACTGCCTTTAGGGTTTTTATTTTATATAAACATGAAGATATTAATTAATCAGTGTTGTGGATTGGTGTGTATAGATGTAAAAATATGTTCAGCTGTGAGCAGACTGAGAGGAAGCTTCAGATTAAATTAATTTTAGCTTGTCAAGAACTAGAACATAGAGCCATTATATTATTTACAGAGACTACATGACGCACAGCAGCGTCTGGCAGTGAAAATAGATCCTGTGAATATGAGGCCATCTAGTGGCTTATGCTGCATCACAAGATGTGTTGGACTGGCTTAATTATTGTATTATGGTAATACAATTATGTAATATGTTGATCCTCTGTATGCAGTGAGCTAAATAAATAAATGTGTTGACACCTGAAATATAATTTTGTTGTTTCCCTTTATATTATCTATGCTGAATTGTATTTTTTTTGTGTGTGTGTATTTGACATGAATAGTGGTCATTGATCAACAGGGGAAGAAAACTGTAAATGAGCCAGATTAAGCCAAAAAAGACTCATTTTCATCTGTTGTGCCTGGCCAGATATTAAAAAAGCACCATACGAATACAATAATATGACATATCTTAAGAAAACATATAATTAATATGCACAGAATAGTACAGTACACATCCAACAATAAATATTATCATAAACACTGTAACATGTTAGTAATAGCTACAATCCATATTAGCATCATTTGTGAAATTATCCCCACACCACATCAAATCCAATCAAAATGTACCTCACAAGAAAAATAAGGTTTATTGTAACAGGAAGAAGAGGTCACAGCACGTCACAGATCACACCATGAGACACTTTTAGTTCTCCTGGTAGGATATATGCACCTTCGTTTGGTGGTTAAAGAAGAATCACGCCATCCAATGGGATTAGCGATTGGCTCAAGGGACTCTGGGATTGGTAGAAATACTGATTTCCCAAGTTGTACCTCCCACATGGGGTGACCAAAGGCTTAGTGTGAGCCTGATTAGTTTTGTAGGTGGCGGACACAAGATGTTAGTAGAGACGAGCACCCAAACAAATGCATGGACATAGACATACTTCTGTAAGTACTCTTTAAATTGGTCATTCAGTGGTATCAGGTACTAGAGTTTGGAAATGCTTTGTTTTTATCCATTCAGTCACTGCATTTTAGCAGTGTGCTGTTTACTCATTGTCTCTGTGAATTTAAACTGGTGCATTGCTATGCATAGTGTTTTTAGATGTGGTTGCAGAAATATTAATAAAGATATAGAGATAAAAGTAATTACTGTAGGTCTGCGGTTGGTTTACTGTTTACATCAACATGTTTTTCATGACTATTATTAATGCTTATTGAGATTTTTGTTGTACTTTTTATAATTATACTTGGTATTCTTTCTAATATCTACATTTACATTTACTCATTTCTATTTACTCAATATCTATATTTCTTTAGTTTCTCATTTTGTGTCAGCTTTCTGATATCACTAAAATAAACACTTATATTAACATATAATAATGATAATAATAATAATAATAATCCTTATTTGTAGAGCACTTTTCAAAAACAAGTTACAAAGTGCTTTAACAAGTGTAAAGAATAATACAAAAAAACAAGATAAGAGCATGAAAACATTGAAAAGACTAAAATACAGATTAATATAAAATTAGTAAAATACAATAAAATAAAAGGGATAAAATAAAGTCAAATAAGATCGGGAAAGGCTCTCCTATTAAAGTATGTTTTAAGAAGGGACTTTCACTGACTCAGCCGACCTGATTTCCTCGGACAGGCTGTTCCAGAGCCTCGGGGGCCCTGACAGCAAACACTCTAGTTTTCAGTCGAGACTCTGGAACAGACAACAGACCTCTGCCCGAGGATCTCAAGGTACGTGCTGGTGTGTATGGGACTAAAAGGTCAGAAATATAACAAGGCGAGAGGCCATGAAGAGCTTTAAAAGTGATCAATAGAATTTTAAAGTCAATTCTAAAACATACTGGGAGCCAGTGTAATGAAGCTAAAGTAGGAGTAATGTGGTCATATTTCTTTGTTCTGGTTAATATATATATATATTTACAAAGTATGGCTCAGAACCAAAAACATCTCAGTAACCAGTATCACTCAAGAATTTGTCACATTAAACAAAATGCTTTAAATGATAAAATTAAAAATTTGATTTTGTATTTCACTAGTTATTTTTTTAATCTAATTAAAGTTGAGGTATGCGATTCTAGAGAAAACCATTATCATGACAAATACCACGATACAGAGCGAACGACAACACATTAATGTAACTAACGTTGGCTATGTTGTGGGTTAGCAAACTGTTGCTACAGCTGCTGCTGTGTAGCTAACATGCAGAGGTGATGAGAGGGTTTTCCGGAGCAAGCACAACGCCATAATGTCTGTGGGCAAGTAATTTAACGTTACCTGACACACAAATCATGGCTGGAATAGTGTTATGTAGCTCGGTCCAGGCCACTTTGTTTGCTTTCTATTTACAGAACCAGGGATATGTACAAACACTGGATATTTTTGTCAGCGAAAACACATTAGACTGTGAGAGGATATTTGCTGAATTTGACAAAAGATGTGTATTGGATTAGAATCGCTTACCCCACCTTTAATGTTCTTTTTTTAAATCTCCACATTGAGCAGACACATACATCTTTTACATTCAAACTACCACACAGCCTGTAACTTGTGCATTCAGCAATGTGGACAGGTGATGTCTTTGTATTTTAAAAACACTGTTAACTGCTGATGGTGACACTGTCAATTATTTGAGAGCCAAAACAAATATGGGTCAGCTTGTTAACAACACTGTAAAAGCAGGCCACCTAAACTGGCTTAGCAGATTAAGGTGCCTCAACAGATGCACTGGACAAGGGACTAAAAGATCTAGCAGTGTTTTGGGTTTTTTTGGCACGACCTCAGATACAGCTGCTGCTTGTGTATTGCAAGACTTGAGAGGACCACTCATAGTTCCCTAGACATTGCAGAAAGATTTTACTGGGCTCACACATCACCTGTTCCACACAAGACGATACTAGTTACTGAAAAAATACAAGAAAATGTTACTGATCCGAGAAAATAAGACTTGAAATTAAAGCGAGCTAAAGAACTCTAGATTACAGCTAATTTTAGATACCTTTGTGCTGGACCTGGCAATGACAGTGGCAGTGTCTCAAACGACCGGCCCCATTTTTGTATGTGTGCGTCAGAGTCATGCAATGGTTGACCATCTGTTTTTAGGTACCAGTTCCAGAGAAGATGGTGGCCCCTTTGCTCACCTTTCTCACCTCACGTAAACATGTTCAACCTGATGAGCAACTGCTGCACCTGGGTCTCCAAAATACAGGAGCCAATCAGGTAAAAATAATGCATTGCGTGAAAAATGAGTGAAAAGTATAATGAGTCTGAAAAAATGTGATCGGTGATTCATGGGCTGATTTTGGCAAAACTTATTTCCAAAAAATAACAAGCCTAATCGCAAAGCTGGGCAACAGCAACCACAATGAAACCTCCTACATTCACTATATTTGAAATAAAATAAATCCTAGTGTGGTTAGGTGCAGACATTTCTCTGCTCATAGGAACTGGTCTGAACGTGACTTAATACAAACAAAAGTGAGCAAGCATTTGTACAGAGAAAGTTAGACAAATCAAAATTGCATCTTCCTCTTTCTTTTGGTAGTTTTGTATAACATGAATTTGCATGTCATGTACTTTTCATTGATGCTTCCTGCTTTCCGGTTGCTAAAACATTGAGCTGTCATCTAAAGCAATATGCTGCTCATTCAAGTGAAAACTGCATATTTCTTTGCAGGAAAATGACCATTCTGGTGGTTGGTCTTGACAAAGCAGGAAAAACATCTTGCATCAGAGGCATGTTAAGAGGTAATTCAACAGTGACTTTAAAACGGTTTTATCTCTTGAAGTGCTTAAAAAAGAAACACACAAATGACCCAGCTGTGTTTCACTTCATGTATTTTCAGTCCCCCATGGTGGGGAAGCAGGACCCACCCAGGGCTGCATCCGAAATGAGCTCCGAGTAGAGAACTACTTGGTCACCTTGTTGGATGTGGGAGGATCAGCAGAGTCGAGAGGAACCTGGAGGGAGCTCTATAGAGAGGCCCATGGGATAATCTTTGTGGTGGACTCCAGTGACAGGCAGAGGATAAAGGAGGTCAAGGGGGTTCTTGCTGATCTGCTGAAGCAACCCAGAGTGGCAGGAAAACCCATATTAGTGTAATTATATTCAACTGTATACATACACTAAAAGTGTGATCTAATATCACATGCAGTGTAAACAGAGCCCTCCGATGGCTGATGAGAGGAAATACTGAAATACCTAGGCATTGGGTAACTGAGGCCTCTGTGCTCAAACCTTTTCTGTTTAGGTTGGCTAATAAACAGGACAAAATGAACGCTTTGCTGGGAAATGAGCTGATTGAGATTCTGTCACTAGAGAAGCTGGTCAACCAGAGTCGCTCTCTGTGCCATATTGTAAGTGTTGCTTTAAAATTCACTAATGCAAACTGAACAAACATAAATGTCTTGTAGGTATTGAAAGATATTATGGATGACAGACAAGCCAGGGGGACAGAAACAGACCTTTTTTCTTTCCCTCTCAGGAGCCTTGTTCAGCCTTAATGGACCTGCGACGTTGGTCGGACAGAAAGACTCTACGAGGCCTTCGCTGGTTGCTGCGTGCTGTTTGTCTGGATTACCCAGAGCTGTGTACTCGTATAGCCCAGGACAGCAAGAGGCCTCTGGAACCAAGAGAGAAGGAAAAGACCTGGAAAACGGAGAAAGTTCGCAAAAAAAACAAGGGGGAACGGTAACATTCAAAGTTTTCTTTATCCCAAATATTGTAAAGATCACCATGAACCCAAGCATTATTTATCACTTTATTTGAGACACACACTGACCTCTTATGTAAAATGTTTTCTCACCTCAGAATGCGATCCAGTAAGTCAGATCTTCGCCAGGTTCATCGGCCAAAAGACAAGGAGAAGCCCAAGAGCGAGGGAAAGCTGCAACCCATTCGAAACATGCTGCAAAAGGTCAGAAAAATATCTTGCCTCGTTTTTTAAAACTACTCAGTGGCCAGTTTATTAGGTACACTAGTAAAATATAATGCAATCCAATACAACAGCTCAGACATAAATTCTACCTTTGTAAAGATGATGATGTTCAGTTTTTATTGAGACCATCAATGGTGTCCTACCAACAGTATAAAGCCATAGAGAGCTCAGAAAACCAGGAAATATTCACATTTGAGAAGCTGGAACAAGATCATTTTGGCATTTTTTGTTTTAAAAAATGACTCAAAACGATTAACAATCGACTAATTGATTAATCGTTGCAGCTCTACACCTAGGTCTGTATCTCACCCTTTTTCCAAGAGTTACGGCAATAGTTATGCTTGTGTCCTTTGTTACCCGATTTTTGTATTCGTTTTTTATTTTTCAGTCATAATTATGACGTCCTCTATTATGATGCGATATAAAATAAATGTTACAAATTAAACATAAAATGGTGAAATGTATTGACAGGAAACCACTCTGAAAAAGAAGCTGAAGTCAAAAAAGAAGAAGAAGTTGGTTAAGGTCAAGAAAGGTGAAAAAGATCACGAGGAAGGAAATGAACAGGAGGATGAAGAGGAGGGTGACAGTCATGAAGGAGAGCAAGAAAACGCTGTTCACAGAGAGAAGGCCAGCAGTGCCCTGATTCCCCCCAAAAAAGGCCAACCAAAACGCCAAAGAGAGGTGAAAAAAGAGAATCTGGACATGCCAGAATCACCTGACAATGATAAGAAGGAGCTCAAAGGTTAAAATCTGTATAATAATGGCCTAACTTTTATAGTTATTAGCTGTTTAAGATTGGAAATCTAATATTTATTTTATCTTCTATCTAGCTAAAGGGGAAAAGAGGAGAAAGAAAAAAGTGGTCAAAGTAAAAAGGAAGAACAAGATCAACACAGAGGAGATGCCTGGAGATTACTCTCAGTCTGTGGACTTGTCTTCAACCTTTGGTGAGCCACATCCACTCCTTCCATCTCCAGATCAAACACAATAACACTTTGGACTCTGAAATGATGAAATCACAACTTTGATTTTTAAAAGATGACCCTGTCTCCCGATAGATCTTTACCGAAAAGCAATACTGGCTCTGAAGGAACGTCAGGATCAGGGACAGTGAGAGTGAATCCCGGTTGTGTCCTGCGACCTCAGTGGGCGGATATGGTCCGCAGCAGTAGTACACAGTCACACTTCACAAACTCTCATACCCTTTTCCTTCAACACAATCAACAGGGGAAAGACTCAATTCCTGACTGCTACATCTTTATAACTCTATAGACTATCACTTTAGGCCAGGTCACTGAACATTCGTAAGTGAAACTGCAAATTCCAGTGTGTAGTGAAGGGCAGGTCTGCATAATCATGTCATTATTGAAATAGTAATTTAAAATAAAATAAAAAACATTAAAGTCAAATATATAAATAACAATATATACATTTTAAAATGTTGAAGATAAAATTATGTAACTGGCCAAAATATTTTTTTTCAAAAAGTTTGTTTGTCTATGCAATATTGTTTGTAAGGGAAAACATGATGTTTGAACTGCATAGTTTTTTATGATTATTTTAACATTTCCCCAGCAATGAACAATGTACTGGGCAGAGTATGGGACATTATTGAAGTGATGAACACACCTATGAAACTGTATAATAAACATTTTGTCACTACTTGCATGGCATATCTGTTTACATTACAGCAGCATCCGCAGCAAAGTACGAGTTAGTGAGATTTAAAAATCTAACACAGGCTATGAACAAAGACCAAGATTGTTTATCTGGATGTATAATCAAATAAGCTGAGTTCTGTTGTTTTCCACCTTTTGTTTGTCATTTCACAATGATGCTGACAGATCTCAGCCCCAAAATGTACTGATCCCACAATATTCCTCCATGGCAGCCTTCCAGTCACCTTGACCATTTTCCACAATTCACAATTCATGTCCTACATCTGGAGAAACCCTGTATTTATCAGTTGGCACAACAGATTTCACTGTTAGTGCTACAGCTTTGGACAGTTGTTCAGTTTGATCAATAATGACTGTATTCTTGACTTTAGCAATGGCAAAAAAAAGATAAGCAAAACTTCTGTGGTTTTTTGAGTGACCACGATGACTTTTCCTTGCAAAATCATTATGGCATATGGTTCTGTTGCAGCTTAAAGTGTCTCTATTACTCACTGGTGAAATTTTTTTTTCATCATGTAAGATATTTCGTGTCTTATAGTATCCAGAAAATACAATGATGTTTAATTATTCCTATATAAACTTATATTTTGACATGATTTTTGTGAAGTATCCTTTTGTATCATAGGAAATTTTTAGATTGTTGTTAGGGGCAAGCAGCACATCTCTTGTCCCAGGGCAGGGAGTTGCCTTGACCTAAAGGTATCTATCTGCTAATTGAACTCTCTGCATGAAAGCAAATAAATCAAATGGATTACTATTGTGCTTTAGTGGTGCATATTCCCAAGTACTACAATGTTAGCCTCCAGCTTCTGGGCCCTTGGAATTATTGGCCCTCAGCCTTGCTGTTCCCCCTTGAGAGTTTAGAGACGATTTATTGTAGTTATAACGGCCTACTAGTACTATCAAGTCCGTGTTATCAATATATATAATGTAATGAAAGAGTATTGCTGTGTGTGAGTTGCGGATGAGCTCCTGTCGGGCTACAGCTGTCCGCTGCTCCTTGATGCAGAGAGGGGAGCAGCGCGTCTCCATTTTTGTGTTTCATCCAGAAGCCCATCCCCCTGATGCATCTTCACCGGGTAACCGTCCGCCTCCCATTCAGTTCAGTGGGAAGCGCCTGCTGCATGCACAGTGGCGAAACATGGCCTCACCAAGGACAATAACTATTGTGGCCCTTTCTTTTGCTTTGGGTTTATTTTTCGTGTTCATGGGGACCATCAAGCTCACCCCGAGACTAAGCAAGGATGCATACAGTGAAATGGTGAGTAAACCGTAATGTTAAACTGTCCGCAGCTGTGAGAGTAAAGGAGGCCATTGTTCTGTGTTGGTGGCAGACGCGAAAGGCTCTCAGGAGATGCTGGCCTAAATAGTCACAGATACATAAAATGAATGCTTTCGATATTCTAATCTGCCTCTGTGAAGCATTCATTTCCCAAGAGGAGATTCTTGTAACGTTATATAAAATGTTAAGACCTGCTGTATTGCCTGTACCAACAGTTAGCACATAACGTTAGGCTAGGCCTAAGTTATATGTTTTAAGATAAACCTCAAAAATATGCCGGTATTACCATAGTTATTATCCATGAGTCAGCATAGATAGATAAAACAATCCAATATGTGTCTGCCATTAGCTAACGTTAGCCGCCGAAACAGCGATGGATAATGAATGACTGACTGCACCTTACTTTCCTAATAACTTACATGCTATAATCTTAAACATGCCAACATATATACCGGATAATCAAGATGTGTAAGCTATAACTCGCTCTTTAAAGCTTATTCTGTGGCTGCTAAGCTTTTCGTTTCATATGAAGAGGAACTTAACCGCTAAAGCGCAATGGCGGCGCATTCCAGCAAATTCGCTAAGATGCACCTGTCGGTGCTGATGTTGAAATGAAGATTATATCTGGCATGTGCTCAGGCTTCCTGGGTAAATCCAAATTAATATGCCCAGGGGATACTTTCTTATCATTACTTTACAGATGTATGGGTTATATTTTGCCAGGCAGCAATAGGCAAGAGAGTAATTGTGCAATTTAAAGGAATGGAATGAAAATTAAATGTTAAACAAGAACAATGACCTTAAATGACCTCACTAAAAGACACCCCATGGGAGTTTGTATGACCAGTTAAATGTTAGACTACTTTTTCATTTCAGAAAAGAGCATACAAGAGCTATGCCAAGGCATTGCCTGGCCTGAAAAAGATTGGGATCAGCTCTGTCCTGCTTCGTAAGATCATTGGCTCTCTGGAGGTGGGCTGCGGTGTGGTGCTCACCCTCGTGCCGGGCAGGCCGAAGGATGTGGCCAACTTCTTGCTGCTGCTGGTCATGCTGGCTGTCCTGTTCTTCCACCAGCTAGTTGGAGACCCCCTGAAACGTTACGCCCACGCTCTAGTCTTTGGTATTCTGCTCACCTGCCGACTGCTTATTGCCCGCCAGAGTGATGACCGGCCGGAAAGAGAGGACAGCAGAGAGGAACAGCACATCAACGACCAGGAAAAGAACAAGGTCAAGCAGTCTTAAGATCCTCTTCTACTTTGGTCCAAGCTACAAGAAAGGGAACCTGGTGCACCTCTATGGATTGTAGTGATTCAAATTTGAAAGGAAACAGTCACTCCCAGTAATAATACCCCTCACACCCATCTCATGTCCCATCCAGCTGGCTGACTGATTACTCTCACCTACTCCTCTGCACTCTTAATGTGAAACTGAGAACTCCCGGTGGTCCATACATCCTCTACATAACCATGGACAATCATACCTGTGGAATCTTTGACGAGCTCAACTCATTGTCACAATAGTCCCTCCATTTTCTCTATTTATTTCAGTCCTACACTGTATTAAATGTGTTTGTGTTTTTAATCGGGTATGAATTTAATTTATGTTAGAAGTTGGTTTGAGAATGCTGTTTTTCATGAAAGAATCTTTGTAGCTTGTTTTTCTAATTTGTTTTTATACTGTAGGTAGGAGAGACTGGGAATGAATTTCAGTAGTTCAAGTGTGTTTCATTTGGTTATTATTATAGATCATAAACCAAAATGAGCACTTTTGAAAGAATTTTTTACTAATTATACATCAACTACTATTACATATCCACATCTTATGTTGGTGCAGTGTTACCAGAAGCCTATTTTAGAAAGATAGATAAATCCTTCTTCATCTTTCCTCTCAGATTATTGCAAAAGTACGCATGAAATCCTTTTCTTCAAAGTAAAATAAGCTGAATATCCTCTGTCTCCTTTCAGTTCAGTTATCACAGTGATGTTGTTTTGCTGGAAAGGACAGCAGTTGCTGCCTCAGGTGTCTGCCGCTAGCTTGTACAGAGAACATAACCAAATCAAAAAAGTCTTTTTGCCTGTTAAAAAATGGAATTTTACCTTTTGTAATTCACAGTTGAAATCTTAAACTTGTCACTGTCTCTTAAAGATTCTGCACATCTGTTTGGTTATTTTTTTCCTCACTCAAGATGTGAAATGCACTCTTATTACAGTTTTGTTATGGGGATGAAATCGCAGTTGAAAATGCTGTTAGTTTTGAGATTCACAAAATTTCTGTAAATTATATCCTTAAAATAAAGAAATGGAGGTGAGACTGACTAAATATTGCTTGTTTTATTAGCACTCTTGCATTTCATTCAGTGAAGTTTATGATGTTTGCAACAATGGGTGCTGCTGGGGATATCTGTTTTGCAAACTGGTTATATAACTACAGCCAGTCCCAGTCAAATTAATTCCTTCATATCAGCACATACACTAAATACAAAGTTTGTGTGCCCAGATATGTGTTTAAAAAGGCCCTGACATTTCTGGGTGCATATCATTTTAATACTCACATTCTCTAGACAAATCTAGACAACCTAGCCATACTTAATTAGACATGTAGTGCTTATCACCATGTCCTGTAAAGGATTTGTTACTGGTTTACTGGTCAGTTTCTGCTTAACTTGAGTTTAGGCTCTTTATTTTAACACCAACAATTAATAGATATTGTAAGTTTATCAGATTTAGCATGAGGAAGAAATTATGTTACAGGAAAAGATTGATTAAATTGTTTTATTTTGTAAACACACTTTTTGGTGACCTTTGGAGGTCCATCAAATAATTTCTCAGTTATCTGATAATACAGCAAGTGGCTCAGATCAAATCACAGCAGAGCACCTTAAGTATGTAAGTCCAAAGGTTGCAGCCCTTCTTGCCATTTGTTTTAATGGTTTTATGACCCATGGAATATTACCAGACTCGATGTTAGCCGTTACTCTCTTGTGCCTGTCATTAAAGACGAAGCTGGCAAGGTAGGAAGTGCGGATAATTATTGGCCGATCGCACTAGCCAGTGTGTTATCCAAAGTTTTAGAAAGAATTTTACTTGATTGTCTAAGTGAGTATACTGACACCACAGACAACCAGCTTGGCTTTAAGGCTAAGCATGGTACTGATTTATGTACCTTGAAAGAAGTAGCTGAAATGTATAGGAGACAAAACTCCTCTGTTCTAATTGGCTTTATAGATGCCTCTAAGGCTTTTGACCGAATCAATCACTAGAAGTTGTTTCTGAAATTGAAATTAAGGTGCGTGCCTGACAGCGTGATAAGAATCCTGGCATACTGGGATGCCAACCAGAGTATGCAGGTCAGATCAAGCTAACATGTTGGCAAGAAATTTTTTTACATGTGTTCAGACCATGTTAAGATAAGGCTCTTTAAAGGATATTGCACTCCTCTCTATACTACCCCATTGTGGGCCAAGTTTAAAGAGGTGGTATTATGCTCATTTTCAGGTTCAAAATCTTATTATGGGGTTGTATCAGAACAGGTTTACATGGTTTAATTTTCAAAAAACAACATATTTTTCTCATACTGCACATCGCTGCAGCTCCTCTTTTCACCCTTATGTGTTGTACATCACCCTCTTGAGCTACAGAGTGATGTATTTTACATTGCGCAGTTCCCAGGCAAGGACTAATAGCCAATCAGAAGCAGAGAAGGGCAGGTCGTAAGAAACAAGGTAGTGTGATCCTAAAGGGCTCTGGTGTGATCCAAAGCAAAGCAGCTTCAGACTGCGACCGTAACTAGCAGATGGTATAAGTTACTCACAAGTCCACAACATCATTGTTCCACATCTTACCATAAACCACTACAAAAATCACCATTTTTCAACTCAATTTTACATTAAAATTGGCCGAAAAATTTGAACGTGTGCTCAGTAGCTTTCACACCGGGTGTAACATTAGCATTATAGCTATAACTTTAGCTGTGTTAGCCAACGTTTACAACAACTGCGCACTTGAACAGTCTGTCACATTGCCGTGTTTATTTTAAATATAATTCACAACCAGTAAAGCATACTTACAGTTTGTGATTGTGAATTTCCAGGCCCAAACAGAGTCGCAGTTGCATCGTCTTTTAGGACTAAACGTTGAACTGTTGCCGGTGTTCTGACGATCTATGCTGCCTTGCCGAAAAATGCTACCATAGCGCAAATCGACAGACTCGACTCTACTCGGCCCTGCTCTGTTTTCCATTGCAGATAGTACCCAGAGATAGTAAGCAGCTTGTCGTCATAGCGACGCCACACACAACTGCCGCGACGTGATGTTCAATGCGACACACACATCAGCGACCCACACAGCTTTCTCTTTTTTAAGTTAAAACGTTTCAACATTACTCAGAATGTAAAGACAGATAAGCGGTATGAAAACCTTCCAGCTGTGTTTTCCTCTGCCGTTGTTGCTGCAGCGGTCTGTGTGACGGCGGGAGCAGAGGGCTCCGTGAGCGGGTTGGCACAGGCTTCCCCCGCAGCCACTTGCGGAGCTCCTCAACTCCGAAAATATTCAAGCACATTTTTTTTCCCGCCTTCTCGTAAATCTGTCAATATTCAAAATCTACACAGCAGATTTTTCACCTCAAAACTTCTCAGAAGTGGATTTAGTGATGAAATTCCATACGAAAACTGTAAAATATAAAACTTTCTGTTGCTGGCCTCTGTCTGGCCCACGCACTGATGATGCAGTGAATAGTGAATATTCTCTCTGACCAATCAGCAGTCTGTCATGTTTTCACATTTCACATTACATTTTAGTGTCCCTCAGCTCGCTTGGAACCTCGACGGAGGTGAGGTGATACAAGAAAAAGTACCTGGAAGCAGGTACAGGTACAACATTTCTACAATGGAAAACCAAACAAAGGCAAGTGGAGCCAAAGGGCCTCCGCTCAGACCAGCTTGGTTTGAGGGCATGCCTGAACCCCCTAGCCGCTGGGCAAGCTTTATGACGCGTTTTCATTGTGACGTCACAGTGAAGGAAGTGAATGGCTGGACTACAAATGAGCTGTTTTCAGGCAGTTCAGAGCAGAGCTTTCTGTGGGAGATGGGAACTCCCTTTGGGCTGGACTTTGGGCTTTTTCATTTTGCAAACCTGTTACATGCACAAAAAAGATATATAACTCAATAAAGGAGAGGGAAAAAGCCAAAAAGCACAACACCACCTCTTTAAAAAGACAACAATATATAATCTTCAGGTTGCCTATCATGACTGTATTGTGGTGTAGTAAAAGTGACTTGTTTTGTAAGGCAAGAGTCAACACTTTCCAGGCTCTACTGAGAAATCTGATGTACAAATTTATCTGTCGACTGGATGGCTCTCAGAATGGCATAGTAATAGTGTACGATACCAGTAACCCCTGTGGAAGCATTGGTATAATAAAAATCACCCATTTTTTTCCACGTTTTTGTATTTGTGCTTTGGTATTTTAGGAGGTGTTGTGTGTCTATTATGATGTTGTGTGTTTTTCTGATGGACCCTGAGTTTGACAATAAAGTTGAACTGAACTTTGCTGTGAGAGGATATCTGACTGCAGAATTTGACGCATCTGCCTGTGCTTCATTTTAGTGTGGTTTTCGACACAGCAAAACCCATACCTAATCAGACAGGCTGGAAAGGACCAGGCTCATGGTAGACTGAACACTGGGGGTGAGGGCACAAACAGCTGCATTCAGTTTTCAGCGTTACTCAGACACTCTGTTATATCTTCAGTGCTCAAGACAAATTTTGGGCCTGCTTTTTCCCCTAAGCATGAAAACTGGACTGAAGGTAAGTTACAGCTTACAGTTTGGGAGAAAGTTAGGAGAAGAGAGGTAGACTACCTTTAAAATTATGTATTATTTCTTTCCCAAAGAACTAATTGGCACTGTGGTGGTTGCAGAACAACTTAACCACCATGAACACATAACTGAATATAGCAACAGGTAAATGTTGAATGCATGTTGTTGCCATTTTCTGACAATTTGGTTTTGTAGGATTCTGAGAGTTTATATAGCCTAGTTTTGGGGTTTTTTTGCCAGGTTTTGAGATCAAGTCAACTGACACAAAATTAATTGGAAACAATTTTGATCATTGCAAAAATGCAAACCATTCAGAGGTTCCAAGTTCTTAAATGTATTTGTGGACTGTGTAAAACTAAAATTTCTGTAAAACAAAAAAAATTAAATGTCACATTTCAGTTCTGTGTGAGCACCACAAACCTGCATTGTATGACTGTTCATCTCAAAGAGTGATATCTCAAACTCTGGGCAAATAAAACCATCACAGAAGTTAATCTGCGAACCTGGCCATTATCACAAACGACTTCAAACAATGGGCTGTTAAGTTCTCTGACGAGTCCTTCACAGGTTTGTGTACTGGTACTGATGTGTTAATATATATTTTTTATACAGTTTAGGTAGGCTACAAGGTAAAAAGTATGGTAAAATTAGTTTTTTTTTTATTTGTCATATTACAACAGGTTGTAAAGTGAAATTAAGTTTTTAACTCCCTTCTGCAACGTCGCAGACATTATACACTAATACAAAAGCAACCATAATTTATGGTTATTAATACCCAATTTTTTAGTACGTTTTTTACTGACCAGCTTTCGACGTTGTTCGACGAAGCCTTCTCTCATTAAATACCAAAATCTTTATCCATGATCCATGGACAGGTAGCTCTAGACCCTCCGGAGTTGTTGAAGGAAAACGGACTACAACTGCCAGGAAGCAAGCGAGCGGATGGACTGTATTGCGCAAGCGCAGAGCAAACGGTCGCGCGGAAGATTTGAGTTTTGTTTGAATAGCTGAAGTAGGAGTAGGTTACAGTGTTCAAGTTTTAGCAATGTAGAAATGGCAGCAAAACTAAACCTGTCGGAGTCGTCGGATGTAGACCCGTCGTCTCTAAACGACCAATCTGTGTCCAGCCGGAGCAGTAACAGAAGTCTGAGAGTCGCAGAAAAGGAGAGAAGGAAGATCGAGGCGGAGGACCCGTTTGTTCTGGCCCTGAAGTACTTCTGTGACGGTAGGAAAACAGGAGCAGATGGTGGCGTGTTGCTGTTACCAACGGCAGTAAAGTTAATTAGCTGCCTAGGATTTATACGTTAACGTAAGTTACGTTAATTAAAAACAGACAAGGCCAGGAAGACACGACGTTTACCTAAGTTTACTCCACTTTGTTGTTGGATTTGGAGTGTAACTGATAGCTAATGTTGCTAATCTAGGCTTTCTAGCTGTTGACACAGTGTATGAGATAGAAAGGGCTAGCATTAGCTTTAACGTTAAGTCAGTAATGTCAGTATGTAACAAACACAAACGACACCTCAATAAAAGCTTGATATTGGAGGATCGACTCGTAGTTTTGTGACCCCATCTCAGTTACGTGACCGAATATATGAAGATTGATGCCTTTTGTTAGATTTTGCCCGACGAATGAGGTTTGAATGATGGGCAAACAAATGCGAATCTGAAAAAGCTTATTAGTTAATATTATGGGTGCTGTCATACGTACTGTCATACTGTCTTAGGAGATTCTGTCTTGTATTTTGTGATCGGAATTGAAAATTCAACTACATCTGCATTTTTTTTTCTGTGGTAACATACTAATACATATTTTGATAGCTGTGTAATTACTGGAGATGCCATAACAGACATTGGTGCCCGGCAGTGTAGATATATGTCTGTACAACTCTAAACCAGTGGTTCTCAAACTTTTTCACTTCAAGGTCCTCTAAACTGACACAAAAGAGACCACAGACCCCGATTTGCTATGTTTCTGTCCCCTGATTTTGGCTTTAAGATGTTTTATTACCGAAAGTCAATGAAACCCATGACCAAAGTTGTCATATGTTCTGTCACTGTGTTACTTATGGATGGAATTATAGTGAAAATAAATGATTATATGATGATAATAAATGATTCCCCTGGACCCCACTTTGAGAACCACTGCTCTAAACACCTCACCTGAGAACATTTGGCCAAACCGTCTTTTTTGTCTTAGTTGAAACTCTAGGGTCATACATTTTGTTGGAATAAAGGGTTAAATAATTATGTTGTGTTTTTCTTTGTTATGAATAAGCAACTAAATGACCAAAACTACTTCCCTGGGATTATTTTCCAGTTCAGCATTTATCTCTAGATTACATTAACAGTCTGTTTCTCTGATGCTCAACAAGGAGACACCAAACTCTGAATATTTTATGATAGATTCATTTACACACAAAGGTAATCTGTAAAAGCTAGCAGTTTTCATGTGGTGGTGAGTAAATGTGAAATAAGAAAATGCTGGATTTTGTTCTACAAAACAGTTTGTACAGTACCAGCGCATCTGCTGTCATGTCACCCAACATCAACACGAGAAAAAGGAAAACACCTGAACTTGTTGACATGACTTGTATGTGTGAAACTGTGTGAGTGCCTGAACATTTTAGAAAGTGCATACATACTCTGATGTGACATTCCTCTCCCTCCTGTAGTTGAAGCGGGTACTCCTGTGTATGGAAATGATGAGGTGGAGAATAACCTGGTGCTGGTGGAGAAGGTGGCCTACAGTAAAGGACTTTCCCCAGAGGCCATCTCTATTATGCTGGAGTTTGCCATGAGCCTCCGTATGGGTAAGACATTCATTTAGAAGCAGCTTTGGACTGGGTATTAATTCTGAAATTTTTAGCCAGAGGAATGGGCCTGTATAACCTATAATACCATCCATCTGTCCTCTTTGAAGATTAACCTGTACAGGGCCATAGGGGGCTGGAGTCTGTCCCATTACACACCAAGCAAGCATACACCTTGGACAGGTTTCCAGTTTATCACAGAACTCACACTCTTTTTCACACCTTAGTCGATTTAAAGCCAAAAATTCACCATTCGCATAGAGCTGAGATTTCCTGTCGGGCGGGGCGAAGCGACGTGAAGGAATTCGCGTGAGTTGAATATTTTCAACTCAAGCGAGAAAGTTGCATGACGCCTATTAGTGTTGAGATTGTCTGTACGTCACTGACGGCTTCAGAGGGTTGTGTGGAGAGGGCCGGGCAGAGCGGGAGATTGAAAATCTGCTGGCCGGCTGAGAGCTGCTAAACTTGGGGGAGGGGAGCAGTGCTGCAACCATTGGACAAATAAACTCCCGTAGTCGGACTGGATTATGCTCTAACAACTACGCCGTTTACTCGCGGGAGGGGCTCGGAGTAAATTGATTTTATTAAATTAGCCTTTTACTTAAGTTTTTGGGATTACAACGTTGATTTATCTTCACTGGAGCTTCTCAGCAGCTAGATTCCGTGCACATCCGGTTCCAGTATTGTTGTTAGCGTCGTTAGCTCTGTCGGACTACGACTTCATATTTATATGAAAACTGGACATTACTTGGAGAAAAGAAAGAGAGGAGGTTGAACTACCTGGTGAGTTCAGAAAACATGTCTGTAACTTTATTCCAGCTATCATTGTACTTTACTGTGACCAAGTTAGCATAGAATAGCCCTGATCGATCCAGACTCCATTCAGAAAACAAACATTTTAGAAGTTGTTGTCCTGCTGTCTTGCTGACAGACCTGACAAAGCATGAATTCATATGTTTAACAAATCTGCATAATGTTGTTGTTATTTCGGCATCAGTTTAGTCCGTTTATTGCTATTTAATCACAGCAAAACGTTTACTTTGGGTTATACAGCTGTAGTAATGGCAAGTTATATTTATTCACGTTATTGCGTTAAAATTGCCTTCTCGTGTTGTGTGTGAAAGTAGCGAATGTACTCGCACGAGGAAAGTGTCGAGAGGAGAAAATTCGCGTTTGGTCTGAATGCCGCATGGGCCTTCACATTGTCAAATCTGTCACTGTCAAGTGCGTGAAGGCTCTCTCGCGGACATTTGGAGCTTTTTTTTTTTTTTTAAACCCTTTTCGTAAGTCTGCGTTTCTGCAGACTTTACCTGAGGGAATAGCCCGCAGTTGACATGACATGAAACACGGGGGTTTACCGGGGTTAGCAGGGTACACCCAGAAGCGAGAGAAATATCACGGCAAATCTGCCTTATAAGAGGAGAAGAAGAAGAACGGTATACAAACAAGCATGGAAACCAACGCTGATGCTAAAATTGTTAGAATTTTTCGTAACATAGATTTAAGATGGTACATAGAACACATGAAGCCAGAGCAATGCAATCATCTTATTACACACTTAGTTTATTCAACTATTTATTTTAGATTTTGCTTAATGATGCTGTTTTGACCAATAATAGTGAATTGATTATTGTAATGTAGCTTAGATTGACATTTACCTCTTCTCCACTCTGTAGGGCAAGAGCCTGCACGACTTAAAAATCAGGCAAAAGGGGCAGATGGCTTAGGGGGGACTTTGGGATTGGGCCACTGTGAGGTAGTAGGCTTGGGCTGTATTTATTTATTTATTTATTTTTCATACTTCCTGACATTTCACTGGGGTATGTACGGTATATGACGGTATTTGTGTTCTTGCGAAATAACTCACTGTAGCATGTATGATATTGTCTAGCCTACAACTCGTGCCTCTAATATGTAGTTACTTAGACAAGTCTTGCTGAGTTTAAATACCATAGAATAATGAATAGATGGGGAATAAGCAAGGGATGCACCGAATGTTCAGCCACTAAAATTAATCAGCTGAAAATAGAAAAAATAGCACTTTCGGTGTTCAGCCTAATAAGTCAAAAGACTGAATTTTACTGAACAGTTACATTGACATGTCGGCAATGTAGAAGCATTTTAAAGTGTCAGAGAAAGATGCAAAAATCACTGTTTGCAGACACACTTTTGAATTGTCTCCTAGCACATCCACTCCATCCGTGGCTGACTTCTTAGTAGGGCTGCACAATTAATCTAATCGCAATCCCGATGTCGTCATGTGCGATTACATAACCGCAAAAAGTGTTCGATTTAATAAAACAGATGAAAACTGGGAGAAGATAATGAGGGTTTGGCTCACTGGCTATTTAACGTTAGCTGTGTCGGTGCCTTTTGTTGTTTCAACATGTTCAACTTTCCACAGGGCCTACAGGCTTGTCAGTGAGCTTGTCAACTGACCAATTGCAGCCAGGATGGGGCGGGACATTAAAACATTTTTTTTGACGTGCTATGGCAAATCATTAAATGTTGAACAATATGATAATTGACAAGTTAGTACTTAGCATTAACAAATTAGAGACCAATGTAGAGCCTTTTGCTTGCACAAGGATTTAATGAATAAAAACAAACAAAAGATGAAACGGCTATAACTGCTTTTAATACTCAACAAGTGGTAAAAAAGTATACTATTATATGAAATTCTAATTAATGTAGTATTTAATATATTATTGTTATCCTAACAGAAAACTATTAACTAAACATTATACTCGTTATTTAATACACTCATGTACAGTTCCTCCTCCAGGTTGTGGATAGAGACTCGGCATTAGACAGATGTACACTGAACCAGTGCCAGTGTGCCAATATTTGCTGCTTCTAGCTGCCTCTCCCATAGAGCAACACACTCCCCTTGTTCTGTTTTACATCTGTTTTACTTGTTATTGTTATAAATATTGTTTATTGTTTAACTTTGTTCATGCTGAGAAATACACATTTCAAAATTTCAGTATTTCACACATTCCTTGATAATTAAGCAAGTAGACTTGTAGTACCATTTGTTCCATTATAATCAAATCGCACATCGCAATATTGTCCACAATAATCGCAATATGACTTTTTCTCCAAATCCTGCAGACCTACTTCTTAGAAAAGGCAACAAATGGCTTTAAGTGTTTCTGTCACTCATTTCTGAGAAGGCGATTAAGCTAGCCGCAAATTTGGAGTGCAGAAGTATTCAAGCCTTTATGGTAACTGAAATGGACCTGTGCGAGCTGACAGGTAGCGACTTTATCCTGTCATTTTCTCTCTTTACAAAGACAAGTTTTGCAGTATGAGAGTCCTACCTGAAGAGAGGCGCTATGGGTGCTTCTCAAGTCTCTTATTATTCTCAAGTCTTATTATTATCTCTTATTTGTCGTTTCCTCGCTTGAACCGGACGTTGTTCCACTCAGCCATCTCGCAGACTGTCCCAAAGCTCTTATTTGCCCTCCGAGGAGTGATCTCTGAGAAGCTATGAACAAGGATACACCAGTGCATCCTTCGTGGAAGTCATTTACTTACCGACACGGCCCCTTCTTGGGTAGCCGTTATATTGATTGGACACTGCATCATCATGACAGATGACATTAAAATCAAGTGTATCACTGCAAAGTCTTTGATTTGTTTTTGTGATGATTCAGTGTCTTGTTAAAATCTGTGTTCATTGTAGGTCTGAACAACAAAAGCCCCACACAACTTTCTTCATTTATTAGAAATATTTTTCTTCCTTTTTTTTATCCCATCAACAGGCTAAGCATTTTGCCAGTAGAAATGATCCTGTGCCTCTGTGCAAGACATACAGCAACCTATAAATATTAATGTGCAGGTGTTTGTTAAACAGGTAACAGCTACAGAGAGAATCATGCTGCTCTGTGAGACTTTATTGGTACCAACACAGTGCACATGTCTGTAGACACAAACTCCATAACAAGTTTCTACAGCTGTTAGAGCCGATTGACAGCTGATCCAGCTGTCGCCGTCATCAGAAACGGACGAGGCTTCACATGACGGGATAATTATGAATGTTTCATTCCCCATCCCTAACCCTGGTATACCGTAATACCACCCAAGCCTATGAGGTGTTAACCACTGAGCCACTGTGTATGAAATGTATTACCAATATCTTGTAGTTGTTTGTGTTTTAGTGAGAACATATTATTCACGCAATTGCACAAAAATGAATTCTTCCCAAATGTGTAGGAACACCTGTGCAAAGTAAAGAGTGTGTTAATTTCATGGACAGTTAGAATTTTTTTTACAGTCAGTTTTAACATTTGCTTCCTTTTAACTGATTTTGATTTCTCTGTGTAGGGACTACTCTGTGTGCTCGCGTGCTGAAGTGTCTGATTCCTGCCACTGTGGTGCCACAGGAGGCCGTTGTTCGAGCGGTGGTATGGCTGGGTGTTGGCAAAATACCTTTAAGCACACAAGTAAGTGCAAATAATGTTATTTATTTTAAACTTTGATCTCAGTGCGTAATTCGTTGTTTACTTAATGTTGTTGGGCAGCAAATCTTGATTTGATTGTTTTCTGTTGAATGCAGGGCTTAAAGTTCTCTGGCGCAAGGCGTTTTTGTATTTGACTATATATAAATGTCGCATGTTATTTGTGTGTGTGTGAAGCGCCGGTCTTCCTCAATTGGTGGCTCGGTGTCTCTGTCGGTGTTTACCAAGAGGGAAGCTTCCGGTCAGAGATCTGATGCGAACGTGGAAGACCCTTAAAGCTGCATTCTATTGAACGGCTAGCAGGTGGTGACTCTTCTGTCTGCAAAAAGAAGCCCGGCTCCATTAGAAATAATGGCAAAATGACCCTATTTCTTACCTGAATAATTACCCCAGTAAACACTTTCTGATGAGTTTATGGTCTCAATCACTAGTTTAATGTCTTCTTCAATACAAAATTATGTTCATTTAGTAAATTATGGTACCATTTATTTTAAAATAGACCATAAAGCAGAGTATGTTTCAGGGCGGGATTATCTATTATTGACAAGTCGTTACCATGGCGACCTGTCAATCAGGCTAGAGGTGACTCGTACCCTCGGCACTATGTAAATTTAACCAGCGCCATTGAAAAAGCATATTAGGAGTTGGCTGATCACTTTCTCTGGTGAGTACATTTAGTTTTAAGACTGTTTTTTCGCTAGACAGAGTTATCAGCCCTGTTAAAATGAAAGTTAACATGAATTATAGATGCACCTAGCTAATCAAGCTAGCTAGCTCCGCACATGGCTGTTAGCTCCACCGTCTCGTCCAAATATGGTCACTTCTGGGCACTTCCTGGTTGCAAAAACTCAACATGGCGGCGGCCTATCGGTTAAACTTGAGGCTTCAACAAAGCAGTCCACAAACCAACGGGTGATGTCTAAGTCCACTTCTTATGTACAGTCTATGGTGTATACACGAAAGTTTGCTCTGCACACTGATCAGACGGGGTAATCAACGCATATTTTTGCTGAATCTCAATGAATGCGACTTCTAATAAGTGTAACAAAATATTAATGACTCTAAACATTCATAAAATATATACTTAGAATCATTTATCACCACTGATGAACCCCGCAAAGCATATGCTTTAAAAAGCTATGGCAGTGGAAAAGGGAACACATAAGGTAGCATTTTCCGATAGGGCAGAACGATTGGATAGACTCTGCTATCGATTTGTGCTACGGTACCATTTTTCGACAAGGCGTCATATATCGTCAGAACACTGAGAACTCGTCTTTTTTAGGCGATCCACTGCCATAGCTTTTTAAAGCATTATTTGGAGGTGCATGCAATTCTTGGCAGGTATGCAAAACTCGGAGTAACATCGGTTATTCCCATAACTTGCGGAGACATGCGATCTTATTATGCGTCTACAAAATTTCCATCGGACGATGTCTACAATGAAACATCGGGATGGACGATGTCACTGGGTGCGTGCACGCACAGTGCAGTCGTCTCATGTGCGTGTGCTCTCGCACAGACTTCACTCGGTAGAAAAAATTGGTAGACTATTAACTTAGATTACAAGTCGCGGTGGATATTTTACGCATGGACCAGGTAAAACAACAGTGTACACACAGTGCAGATGTTGGTTTCATTTGTTTGATAGGCTACGTCATTAATAAGCAACTAAAGTTTTGTTCAGATTGTGAGCATGTACACTGAAGTTACAACAACTTCCTGTGTCATGGCGAAGAGTTGATCTTTGACGCCACGCCACGGACACGCCCATTGACGAAAACTCACAGATAGCACAACTTTTCATCTTCAATGCCTTTAGAAGGCAATCCCTAGGAGGAGTTCGTTAAAGTATGGAATGTGTAAATCATCCATAAATGGCCGTAAAATTCAAAATGGCCGACTTCCTGTTGCGTTTAGGGTATGGGTTCTTGAGGGTATTTTGTACGTCTTGATATGATACATGTCCCCTGAACATTTCGTGCATGTAGGTTGAACGTGGACGAGGGGCAAATTTTTTCCAATTTTCTAGGTGGCGCTAGCGAGTCATTTTGCCACGCCCATGCGCGAAACCCATAAAATGCGAAATTTTTCACCACTTCTGACATGTGTGCAAAGTTTTGAGTTTTCCAGTATGTTTAGGCCCCCAAAATTGAGCTTTGCAGAAAAAAGGGGGAAAAAAAAATCTTTACAGATTCAATAGAGACCTCGCACGGTTCGTGCGACGCCTAAAAAAGACGAGTTCTCAGTGTTCTGACGATATATTACGCCTTGTCGAAAAATGCTACCGTAGCACAAATCGATAGCAGAGTCTATCCAATCGTTCTGCCCTATCGGAAAATGCTACCTTATGTGTTCCCTTTTCCACTGCCATAAAGTTATAACTCTCACAGTATTATGACATCTTCTGTTTTTTTATTATTAGAACATCATTTCAGGGGTAGTCTATTTTGATAGACTAATAATGAGTTGTGTTTTTTGATATTGCTGATGATCAGCCACTATCTCGATGGCATGCCCAACAGCAAGGTTTCACAGATCCACTGTTGTGGGTCATGGGCATGTGCAGAACCCCTAATAGGTAGCATAAATCAACAGAACACCGGCTCAATGTGATGTATGTCCGCTATCGCCGATGGACGATGGCAACGTCTATGGCCCAACCCTATTTTGAACTTGTTGTTCTGCATGAATGATTATTGAGGAGTTAGTACTTAACATTAACTAATTACAGACTAAGCACCATGTAGATAATATTTCTTACACAACGATTTAATAAATGAAAACCCACAGAAATTAAATTGCTGTCCAACTAGAATTAATTTTACACTGGTGGTAAGCTTTATAGTATACTATTATCTGAAGTTATAATTTAGCCCTAGTACTAGCCCATACATACTCTCCCATGTAAATGGGGAGTACCAGTAGGGGTGGGCAATAAAACAATAATTATAATTATTGTGATTAAATTTTCCTCAGTAACAATATAAATGTTTAGTAAGTGTTTGATTTAATTCATTTTAGTCATGAATAAATCAGCACTTCATTTTTCTATTAAGATATGGAGAAAAATAAAAAAAATTATATATATATATAAAAAGACTTAATAATTTAAACTTACTTAATCATAATTGTTTTGAATGTTCTACCTCTTCTTCCTGATCCACTGTTTGACATCAAGTGTTTGTTCTGACCATCAAAATAGTTTAAAACCTCAATTAAAAATCTGGTTTCTTCAACTTTCACTCAGGAGCAAAAATCTTTCTAAACTTGAAAGAAATAATGATTTGACATTTTATCAAGAGAATAATCAATATCGAATGATATGGAATGTTTTATCGTGATAACATTTTTGGCCATTTTGCCCAACCCTAAGTACCAGCACCTATATTTTCCACTTCAAGCACTGATTATAGGTGGTGGCAGAAAATGTTACCAGAATGCCACAAATGAAGTGTTTAATGCTCAAAATGTTTTGGGGGAGGACATCGAGACCGCCCCCCCCCCCCCATATATTTCCACATTGAACATTTCATCAAAATAGTGTACAATTATCTTCTCGTCCTGTTCTAGTAATCCCAGCATTGTGAATTGGTTATTTGTGTCTGTTGGTTGGAAGAGAGAGTATTATTACATTATTCTAATTACTAATTACGCCCCCGTGACCCTGTTCACAGGATAAGCGGTTGACAATGGATGAATGGATAAATACTAATTAGGTTTACATCATCAACCATTTTTAAACAAAGGGAAATGATTTAGGACTACTTTTGCTCTCTGTTGTCTTTTCATTAATCTAATAATTTGGCCATTAAAAACATTTTAAAAATGGGTGACTGTTAGTCTACCTGCTTTTGATTATGTATGTGTACTATAATTAATCAGTTTTTGTGTTTACTTTTGTGCACAATATTCAGGTGCTTTTCATAAAGTGGGTGTTGACCATATTTGACATGATTGATGCAAAGGACCAACTTCGAGCTGTCTATGGCTTCATCTTCAGCTTCGTCACAGAAGAAAATCTGGTATTTGTACTGATGCATCTTCACATTGTTTTCCAGAGCATGTTAAGCCAGATCTAATGGCATGAAATCAAATGTGTAAACTATTCATTTACACAGGTCTTTGAGTAACACATGCAGGGTTTACTAAGATTATTTGTCATTCAAATGACATGTGTTTGTATGCCAGATGTTGTGCCTTATTCAAGACACAGATAACACGTTTATCTGGTTTAGGCCTAGAATTCATACATAACAAAAGAGGCATGTGTTGTCCTGTTTGGCTGAAGTTAACCTGTTACGGTCCAAAATGCGTCATCACGGGGGCTTTGCTTCAAGAAGCAGGTTTTATCTGTATAGCTCTGCTGTTAAAACCAGAAATTGTCATATTAGAAAAATCATATCTGAAACTGAAAATTAAGAGGTATATTCCGGATTTTATTCAATGAAATGACAAAATTGCAGACATGTGAAGTCATTACTTTGTTTTTACATTTCATTCAGTGTCCTTTCATCTGCCATCTGTTGTACCTTTTGACCAGAAAGGAAAGTGGTAAGTCAGACATTTTCACACCTGCAATGTCATCTGAAACATGACTTTTTTTCTAGTTTACTCTCCTCTTTTTTAGTGTCCACATCACTTCTATAAGCATTATTGACTGCTTCATCCCCCCCCCCCCTCTCTTTGTAGTGCGAGTCTTCAGAGTCAGGAAGTTACTGGAGCTACAGTCTAAACTGGTAAACATCCTGCTGATTTGATGCCCTGTAGAGCCATTTATCAAAGCTTTATTATAATAGTATTTCCTTACTCTGTATGACAATATATTCAGGGATTAATTGCAGGTTTTTTCTACACTGTGCTTTATTCACATAAACAGTTACCTCTTTCCATATTGGTTATAGTTGTATTCTGCATTATTAGGCAACATAAATCAAAAAACGAGATTTACAGATTTCAGAATGTGTCACGTTGATATTCGCTCTTGTTTCCACAGGGAAGACAGGCGTTCCTCTTGCACCTACTATCACTTTACAAAGTGTTTTGCCCTGAACTGGTGACGCTCTCCATTCCATCACGAATGAGGGTTTGTACATGGACTGTGCAGTTAATGTTAATTCTGCTGTTTATAATACAATATGATTACCATCTGTAGAGCTAAAAAGGAATTGTATGTTTTTCTGTTTTCTCACAGAGTGGGTTTAGGAACCACAACTCCCCCTGGAAATCAGCGTTGATTGCTGTCCAGAAGAGGAACAGTTCCCAGGTTGCCTCCAGCATCGGTCTGGCATTCACAATTAAAGATAAGGCCACCTCTAGGAAAAGGGTATGGAAGTTCATTTAAGTTGTCAGAAGCACTGCTTACTGTGTTTGCAATCACTCCTGCTACGCTGCAGTTACTGCTGCTGCTTGCCAATCATTTCAGCATTTCATCAGCTCTACCTCCACCAATCCAGCATTCACCTGAAGGCTCTGTAGGTTTTCTCCATGGTTAAAACTTTATCACTCTCCGCTCTCTTATTGTGCCAAATGTTGAAGTATGATTGCAGGGATTGACATGGTCCGAAGATAATGACCAGATCTATGAAGTATATATTTGTAATTTATCTGTTCATTGTGATTTTAGCATTTATTAATTTCAGGAAATAAAAAAAGATTGCTCGCCTAGGCTTGCCTTTAATTATGTTCTTGTGTTACTGTGCTTGCTCTCTTAGAAACACTGCCACCTGGAATTACCGGCATTGAGCTCTGTAGTCAATAAACAGGCTCAGACTGAGCAGTCCTCCAGCAGAAAGGTGGTTCCCCTGGTGCAGATCCACTCCTTTACTCAGCTGCTGGAAAATATGCACCATATAGAGGTAATTTCTCCTAGGACAAATCTCTGAGTTCTGCATCTGTGGTGTGCTGACACAGGGGCCACCCCTGTCCCTTTACTGTCTCTCTTCTTCTCTGTCTTTCCCTCTTTCTGCTCCCACCTACCTCAGCTTCCACAGTTTAGATGTCCCAGAGCCCCAACACACCTGGACTGGGAGCAGGTGGACTATCATTTAAGCATTAAAGTGAAGATCATTAATCATTTAAGTAGCAGAATAAAATGTGCCAGTTTTTCCCATGCCATTGAGATGTGCAACCACAGTCCGTTTAAATTGTGATATATTCTCACAGCCACAGGGAGGCGCTGTGTCACTTTCATAATTTTATTCCTGCACTAGGCCTAACAACTCTGTCCTAGAGGAACCACAGCAGAGGTGGCCTGGGCTGTAATTTGTTTATTAGATTAGAGCATAAACCAAGCTTCATGAGCACAGTGCTTATCATTTGTTTTTTATATTGGCCATTGTTCTTTTTACAGATATCATCAGTGGTTTATCTATTCTTTATGAGTAATGGAAGCAGAGGACCTGAGATGAGGTGTATCTGAGTAATGACTTAGACAAAGTTTCACAGCAGTTGGTCATTTAAAGAGGGCCTCTCCATAAATGTCTATTTGCCCTGCAGATTCAGTGTCCTGATAAACTAATATAAGTCATTTTAAATGGCTCGCAGACTTTTATGCGTCATGCTACATAAATTCACCCTTTTCACTGCCTGCAAAGCCAACGTGAGCAATAAGGGTTTTGGACGGCGATATCACCAGCTGTGTTTATTGCCAAGAAAGCTCTAGTTTGCGCTGTATGAGGAAAGACAGGCGAGTATAGTCACACTCAGCAAAGGCACTGACAAAGGATTATTGATTATTTCTGTCATTGCCTGCAGTCCTGTTGTCAGAAGCTGAATGGCGCTTTCTCAGTTTAATGATACAGTTGCTCCATAATTATTGAAGAACTGAGCTGTGTCCATTCACAGTCTGTCTTCTCCTCATTCTAATTTATTTATTATACTGACAAAGTCCCCATATTGGGAGGCAGCTGTTCAGACACAATAAGGGACTGTATAAATTATCCAGCATGATGGAAGAAACGTCCCAGTGCTAGAATTATGGGGATTACTGGGTATTGAAGTATTAGCCCAGAAGTGGATTGCTGGCCCACTCAATAAAACAAGTACAGTTTTTTCTTATTCTGTAGCAGGTAAGCTGATTGATTTGAAACTGACTTGAGAGAACTGATCATGCACAGCAGCTTTATGTGTGTTTTTTTTTTTTTTTGTTGTTGCAATGTTTGACTCTAGGTACGGTTCCTTGGCAGTATGATGTATTTATTTATTTTTTTTCTGTACTTGTTTTGTATTTTTGGATGCTTGATTATTTTAGCCTCTGTGTCACACTTTCTTGCATGTGTTTCCCATTTCTTCATTTTTAACTCCACCAGCTGCCCGCTCAGATGGGCTCACTGCTGGGCTCCAGTCTGGCACTGCAGTACCTGGACTGTGTACAGGATGAGTCTGCCCTCCTCCGCCTCAACTTCTGGCTAGGCTACGCTCTCCACGAAGGTAAGGGAGGGGAGAAGCAATGACCAAACTGTGGTGACATCTTGAATCAGGAACATTCATCCAAAGTAAAGCTGACCTGTAGCTGAACCCTAACACATTACCTAGTTGGCACATCAAAGGGATCTTTTCAGAGAAGGGTTTAAAAGAGCCTGCGGGGCGGCCTCACTGTGTGAAGATACAGCCAGTCTGTTTTCTTTTTATTCCCTTGTCTTTTTCACTCACTAAATACCCGATTTGCTATTTTTGTTAAGAATTTTTGTTCTGCAACGGTGGAGGAGCCTCCCAGAATTCAGAAGAAGCTATGCGGTTTTTGAACATGTTGCTGTCTACGCAGCACTTTCTCCAGGTGAGCCTCACATTTCAGGCCCTGATAGCTACCTCCCACCTGTCATTCACTATTTTCCTGTTTTCCTGTATGTATTCATTAACCTGCACCCACATGCTCAGGGTTTGGGTTTAATTAACAGTCAAATGATGAATCCACAATGTTTTTAATTTGTCGCATTTCTCCAACAAGGAGGGCTTTTCCAGTTCAGAAGCTTTTCTCTACAAATTCCTCACAGTTTGGGACGGTTCCCTCCTCCGCCCACAGATCCTCGGCCTGCTGAGCAACATTCCTGTCATCCCAAGTTCACGTGAGTTGTGCTTTCATCCTGCACCACTTCCATGGGCTGTGTCTAGCTCCATATTTAGTGTTTATTCTTTGCATCTATCATACATACACACACAACTGATTTCCTCCCCAGCCTTGCTCTCTACCTGAATAAAATTCCAGCAATGTTCTGATGTCAGCGACACCTGCCAAATTGTGCCATATCCTAGGGATTGCAGTTTATATAGCTGGTACAACTGTAGCCTTTTTGTCTCCCCATCTTCAGAAATCGGACGTCTTCTGTTTGAGCCCCTCACGCAGCTCTTCTTCACATCCTCACTGTTTTTCAAGGTAGGCTTTCCTGTCTTTCTACTGTGCTATTTACAAATTCAGCTATAAGAAAATATGCTCAAGTGTCATGTCTTTCTGAAGCTCTCTCTCATTATGGGTCCTGTATTAGCTAAGTGTTTACATTACGTTTGTGCGTGTGTATGTGTGTCTCTGCAGTGTGGACTGATGGATTGTCTAAACAATATGCTGTTGAAGTGGCTGACCTGGCACTCGGTGTATGCTCTGGAGGACGACCTGGACATCAGCCTCAACAGCCACACCTCCATGTGAGTCTCAAATCTTCTTCCTGTTATTTGTTTATGCCTGAGCATAAACAAGCAATAAACCTGAAACACTTTGGAAATTTACTTTGCTTTACTTGGTAGCCAAGAAATGCCCTCTCAAACCTAATCACTTCTTACAGATGTAATAAAAGTATTGAGGTGTTGCCTCTTAGTTTTATTTACTGCGGGTTAGTGTAATAAAATAACTGTCTGCGTTAATTTACCCATTTTTGTTCCAAACATGAGGCTTAATGGTTAGCTATAATGGTTATTATCTAATTTTGTTTTGAGTCATGCACCTTGTTGCAACATTTTGGATGATTGATCAGATAAAATCTTGACTGAAACCCCACACTGCTCTATACAATAACGTTTTAGCTTTCACTTAGCCGTCTATTATCCACTAGCAACAAAAACAACCGTGGCAGAAGTGTGTATTGACATGTTTTCCTTTTTGGTTTTGAGCCCATTTGTCCATCGAATCCTTTCATTGAAATCTGTTTGGAGACAGAAATGGTCCTAATATCCAGTAGAACAATTTTCCAGCTTCCAAATTAAGGGGTGGACTTTGTGTCGATTATGTTTAAATATCTGGGCTTCATCAGTATCGAGTCCCCACATGAGTAATCCCACAATAAATGATCCAATAAATAGAGAGAGTAGAGAGTTTTTTACGCACTGCCATTTCTAAACTCACCTCTGGTATTTAGCCAGAGTACAACTCAGAGTTTAGATGTAGACATCATTGATTGTGTATTTGTGTACACTTTCACAACATCACTCTTGATTTAGTGTTTGTCCTTTTGTATTCTAATGAACTGCCATGTGCCTGATATGGGAGCTTTCTTCTATCGTATCAGAGACCTGAGTCACCCACAGAGTGCAGCTTTCACTTTCATCATTCCTGGGTATTCTGGTTAAAGTGTGTGGCTGACTCTCTGCTCTGCCCTCTGTCCCAGAAACATGACTCTGTCAGGGTTCAAGGATTCAGTGATGGAGCTGGTTCACTTTGTTGGTCGGCTGGCCTCTGTGGGCCTTCAGCTTGAAGGCTGCCACTCTCTCCTCCTCAGCTTCATCATGGACTTCTATGAGACGGTAAATAAGCTGATGCTAATAGAATCTGCTTTGTGGCTTTGGCAAGCAAGATACAACCTATGGCTGGACTTTACTGTTGCTTCAGAATGACATAACTTTGATTTTAAAATGTGTTTTGCTTATTTAAGTTTAATCTTCACTGATGAGAATGATGCATGTGCAGAGTTTGACACTAGAGGGCTGTTTTCATCTGTTGAAAGGGGGGAAAGTTTCTCTGTGCTCACATTAGAGTATCAGGGCTTGAAAGCATGAATTTTTGACCTCGAAACTAGCTTTGAAGCCACATTTGAAATGAGAAATTATTTCGATATTCACAGATTCTGAATTTTTCAGAGGGAGAAGAGTAGAGATGTTTTTAAAATGTTTCAACTTAGTAAAAACACATTAGAAACACAAATTATTATTCAAATTATTGGGCCGGCTGTTGCTTAGAGGTAGAGTGGGTCAGTAGAGCGGGTTGCCCATTAATCAGAAGAATAGCTGTTCAATCCCAAACTTCCTCCAGTGTCCTTGGGCAAGATACTGAACCCCAAACTCCTCCCAAAGGGGTGTGTGGGTGATTATTATTATTATTTTTTTGATGAGCAGTTGGCACCTTGCATGTATAAATGTGTGAAGGGGGTGAAAGTGACATGTGTAAAGTGCTCAGAGTGGTCGGAAGACTACAAAAATAAGAATAGTCCATTTACCATATACCAAAGTGGGTTATTTTTATCTCTTAAAACTTGTCTGGAGGGGATCTTTAAGCATGACAGAGATTAAGAAAAACTTCTTTCAGGGGGTTTCCTGGTCAAGTCAGCAGCAATAGTAGCACATAGAATATAAAAAAAATAAAGCTTACAAAACATGCAAGACAGAAATAAGTCTTAAGCATAAAATGGTAGTTCCCAGCGTTGTTTGGAACAACAAAATTGCATTGAAACATCGATCAGATGCCAAGAACAGCTTTACAGATCTGTTCCAGCTTCTAACAAAGCAGAGTCATAGTGAAAGCAATGAGATATACTGTATGTTGGATTATCTGCTCTTCACTCTGTGGGTGTTAAGTACATATTTTCTCCTCCCCGCAGGTATGTGACACGTTCCTGAAGTATGGGCTCCCCCTTGTGGTGATGCCTCCTCCTGGAGTTTTTTACCCCGCCCTGCTTGCCACAGACCCTGTTAGCGTGGACAGACTGGCCTACATCATGTACAGGTGAGAACACTTTATCTCCATGCCGCAACCTTCCATGAGCGTATCACGGTGCTTACACTAGCAATACCCTTAATGTAGTATGTCGTATGTGTATGCATATTTGATGACAGAACAGAACTGGAATCAAATGGCTTCGTTTTACTTAACGGTTAATGCATGATTTATGAAAATGAAAGGCTAAGAGGCAATACACTTAAGCCTTCTTCTCCTTTTTATGTAGAATTCAAGCGTCATTTATAACTCCAGGCTTTAATAACACAAATCCTTACAGTGTCAGCTAATTGACTACACCCCAGGGTTCTGAAATAATTTTTACCAACGCAGAGCGTAAAAATGCCATTGGAGAAGGAAATTGGAACTTAACTGCATTACATTTTTTGACAGACCATAGAGAACAAGCAATTTTGCAATAATTCATGGTCACTGAGGTCACTGGTCTTTCACTGTTCTCTTTTTTGTTCAGGTACAAGGTGAACTTGACATCAGCCAAGAGTCAAGAAAGACTCACGGAGGTAAAAAAGAATAATCTCTTTCTTGCTTTCTTGTTTAGAAAATCAAATAATCTTTGATTTAAATTGCAGGGATACACATTATGGTCTATTGTACTTGACATATAATGTGGAAAAAAATAATTCTTTTAGGCGTTGCTCTCTTCCGAAAGTGACTTCCTGTTTGTTTTGAATTACTGTGTTAGTTTTTATAGATTTTACATGTATTAGTCGAGCCCTTTAGGAATTCACAAGCATCTACCTATAGCTCCATTTCTACCCTCTCAGAAAAGGACTTAAAAAGTTGTTGATTTTAATACATCTGCCACTGCAAGTTATGAATTTACAAGTACACATCAGGCAGCCAGTATGTTCCCCTGGAAATGTCAGTGGCACTTTTTATTAAGAAAAATGGACTTGGTTAATAGCATGCAAATGAATCTGCCCAACAAACATCAGATGTGAAACTCTGCAGATATGGAGAGTGGTTCAGATGAATTCCATCTTTCTCCACTTTTGTGTTTTTGTTCCCCTTTGGTCCCATTTCCATTTGGATTCTGCTTTTCAGCAGGCCTTTCACATCAGCCGTCAGACGTTCCGCGAGTTCAACAGCTACGTTGTTGTCATGGTCAACTGCCTGTGGAACTCAAAAATGTTTCAGCCAGGCATTCAGGGTATACAGCTGGGAGAAGAGCTACTGCTCAAGAGCAATGTACCACAATACTGGACCAGCTTTGACCTCATCCACCACCCTGCCTTCATGAGCTACGCTGTCGACTTTCACCAGAAGGTGAGTGTGGACCGTTTAGGATGTCTTTATTTGTGTCTTGCACCACAAAATGTTTGTTCTATATACCTTTTAAACAAAACCTCCGCCAAAGCTCTTGCTTTTTTTTTCTTGCTGTAAGAGACCAGTGATGGATCACTGTGCGGCCAGTCTGTAGAGTTTGGTTAATAGTCTTGCAGGCGAGACAAGAAGACAAATGTGGTATTAATGTATCTTTCATAGAAGATACATTAATACAGAAGACATTTTATTATTAATGAGTGCTGCATGAGACATGGTTTTCATCATGTTTAATAATACACATGCCTTTTTTTGGTTCGGTCTAACTGCAACATCTAGCCGTGATCTTGTGAGATTTAGCAAGGCGGGCTGACAATGAATATTAATGTTCTCTCTTAATCAGTGTTGGCCAAGGAGAAAGGAGATGGACCTCAGTTCCATAAAGGTATGAGGGGTCTCCTTTTCATTTCTGCATTTTGCAATACACTTCAAATGTATTTTGATGTGCATCAGTCATATTTCTGAGATTAAGAGGGATTGCTTTGATCACAGAAATCTTCAGAAGTGTTTGATGTGACTGTGTGTCTGTGTGTTTCAGCATTCAAAGCCATGGAGCTGGTACCTGGAATATTTGTTCACTCAGGGTTATGACGGCCTTAAACTGTTTGTTCAGAGCAACATCAACTGGCAGCTGCCAGCAGGCGACGGGCAGGACAACAGCCTGTCCACGCAGCAACAGTAGATGCTCAACTCAGTGGGGAGGAAAAACAACCACTTGCGTCTTACCAGTTTTTTAAAAGACTTGTACATATTTCATCTCCTCGTCTCTTCCAAGGAAACTACTTGCAAGAGATGCAAATCTTTTTAATGTACATACATGTATGTGTGTTTATTGTGTATTTTTACTTATAGTATTGTCCATTTAATGATAATAGATCATAATGCCCTGGCAGCCATTTACCAGAATCAGTGTCAGTAGTAGGTTTAATAGGGAAGATGGTGTGTTTATTGCGGGGGGGAAAAACACCTGGAAGGGGAGCATTGTAACGCACATCCATCTGTCAGGATGGTGAGATTATATCCACATAAATGTTGACAAGAGTAACAAAAGTTTAATTATTCTTTTTTTCAGTATTTCTTTTGTTGCAGTAAACTCACTCCATAACATAACACACCAACCTTGATCCAGCTACTACATTGAAAATGCATTTTTCTTTAGCTTACTGTTTGTTCTTTTTTGGTATATTCTTGTACAGCTTACCATCTGCAAAACCTGACCCTTGCACATTGTTGAAAATAAATCAGCGTAAGACTTTTACTTTAGAAGCCAATAAAATCAGTCTGTTGTCTTAACATGATACTTGCAGTACATTACAGTTTACAAAGCAGATGCATTGGTCTTGTGCCCGAATGTAAACTTGAATTTTGTCTCTTAGACATCAGCTGCTTGAGAATCTGCTATATGGATAAGTATTCTTATGCATTGCAGTCAGTTGCTCTGCCAGCTGGGAAACAGCCTTTTACTTTTAATTGAGGGACCCATCTGGATGGTTATTAGGCTCCTGGCTACTCCTGAAAACGCTGGGTGAAATCATTGTGTGCCAGGTACAGTGATAAGCTTCATCTGTGACAAAACCATGTTGAGGCACAATGTTTACAAATTTTCCTGTGCTTGTTGAAGTGAACAATAGTGTGATGTCACTATCTTATGTTTGCAACTAATGATTATTTTCATTAGCAACTTGTCAAGCCACAATTTGTTTTCAAGTAATTGATTCATTAAGGTCATGCAAAACAAAACACCACATGTTCTGAGGGCCCAGGGTTACATCTTCAAATGTTTTGTCCAAGCAAGAATTGAAAACCCAGAGATATTTAAAATTATTTGGAAAATCTACTCAACTGAAACAATGAACCCAGCAAATATTTAGCACTTCTGCTTATTTATTTTAACCAATTAAGTCAATTATCGAAGTTTCAGCTGGTCTGTAATTGAGAGTAAGATTAGAGTTAATATTCTTCATTATAATTCCCTTTTTTAAAAATACAAATCATCTCAGATGGCCCTCTACCTAGCAACGTGTTAAATATTAATGCTTGTTATTTTGGGATGTCTTAAAGAACAGGAAGAACCACAGCTTTATTCTTAAGTGTTGTAGACGTTATTGAAGTTTTCAGTCCACTGTCCTAGATGATGAAGAATTGCACAGAAGATTTCCTCTCTACCTTGAGCCAAATTTTCTCCTTGACAGCAGCTGTGACTCCAGAGCCTCCCTCCTGCAGCTCTCTCATGACGCGCCACAGAAGTTTTATGGTAGCATTCAGTCTTATTCCAACTCTGGATCTCTGAGATGATGATCGTATTTGTTGAAATGGTTAAACTCACCAGATGAAGCCCTCTGCGTGAGCTGTGGCGCTGATGTGAGTGAGCGCAGCCACCTTAAAGAAAGCAGTCCGCTGATGTCAGCGTCAGAGAGCACAGACTCCGGCACAGCGCTGCGCTGCTCAACCGTTTCAAATCTTCATCTGCGCTGCTGCGCTCACTTTCTTCAATCTCATGTCTCGCCTGCATTCACGGGAGTAGCTTATTTAAGCATCTTCGACAACACATCCAACTGAGCTGTGTCGGTCCTACCAGAGCCAAATCCCTGCCTCGGGGAGAGAAAGGTAAGAATGTTGTTCAAGGCATCTTCTGTTTTAAGTGTTTTCTGCAGGAAATTGTTGCCGGTTAACCTGGCATGCAGGGCGCACAGAGGAATCATGGTGTGGCAATGTGTCTTAAATCGCCTTTGGGTCACTCCTGTGCATGTTGAGGTAGAGATTGGATGTTGTGCTGCAGTTAGGATACTGTAGACTGTAGTCCTGGTCACAGTTTGGCAGCTGGATTTCTTTTCAACCGGGCGACATCCGTGTGATGGATGGGGTTTGCCTGATGAGCTTCAGGATAACTACAGCCGGTGTGTGCGTGCGTCTGGCCGGTGGAGCTGTCGGAACAAAAGGCTCAGCTGGACGTTTTGGCAGCAATTGGGAAAACCTTCATATTATCCTTACGTTACAATTCTTCCTCTATGTTATTCAGAACAACGTGCAGCTCACAGACTGAAGAAGACGCACAGATCACTGTTTCTCCATTCACTAATTGCCGATGAAAGAAGTGTATTTACCGACACTGATTAAGTGTGCGCTGGTTTTGTGGAGCCCAGAGGAGAGGAAAAAAAAGAAAAAAGAAAAAAAAAACCTGCCAGATCAGTCTCTGCAAGTTTCCCTACAAGTCTCGCTTCCTGAAGGAAAAAGGAGCATTTTTTTTAGGGATTTTCTGCATTATCAGTTTGTATGGTGGGTGGAGACTGACGTGTGATGGCAGACTGAGGTGTTGAGCCGGATTTGAACTCTGCATGTCTCGAGTAATTATGGTAACAATTACACGGTGTTCCTCTTAAGCCTAAAGACTGTTTGCTGAGGGGCCACAGCGTGGGATGATTTAGGGAAATATTTGGAGGGAGGAGTAATCCTGCTTCCGTGGACGTGACAGCAATAGCAGCCTATTTAAATCCAAATGTCAACAAATTGGTATCCCCATTAGCTAAAACACAAGATCCTGAACCTGCTCTCAGTCACAGTCTGATGCACAGGTGACGGACAACAACTAAATTTTGTTTTCAGATGTTATAAAACGTTTGTTTGCATCATGTTTGCAAACTATACAGCCCTATAATATAAAAGTTGCTATAGTATAGTACAAAAATTATTGACCGGGTCTTTAAGGGCTCTGTTGAAAGGTTGGCAAAATATTACCGCTGTGGGAAATAATTGCAATTTTAACCCGTCAATATCCCTTCATTGTGTTTTTTTGCCAGTGCTGTTGTGTCTAAATGTTGATATGTTCATCTGAGAATCACTCAAATACAAAAACAGAAATTCCCTTTATAAAAATTTAATCATCTTTGTTTGGAACATCAAAAGCAATCTTCTCTCTCTCTTGCCTAGGCTGGTTTTGCATTCTTTCATCTGTGATCATAAAGCCTGGTAATTGCTAGAGTTCTGGTTGAGTCCAGGATGAAATTCATGGTCTCTAGAAGCTTTAAATGGTTGTTTGTTTGTTTGTTAGTTTTTTTAAAAAAAGAGCTGAATAGTGTTTCCTTCCAAAAGGGGCTATGAAGTGACATCCTGCCTCACAGAGACATACACATAAAAACAGACTTTTATGTTGTCATTCTGCAGGACCTTTCAGCATTATCAATCTGCATTTATTTAAAATAGCTCCAAGTCATTTTCATGGACAGTAATCTTCCTGTACCTACACAGGGATAATTTCCCTCAGAACCCAAAAGCCTAATAGGAACACACTTAAATTTTCTTCAGGCAATCCAATTTGATGTGATGATAGGATTGCTTGTCTTTTGATCTCGAAGACCGCTGCAAAACATCTGAAAAATGTAACAAACGAGGAATAATTCAGCGATGGGTTTAATAATAGTGAATAATGTGTAGCATATGCTGTGATGACCATAGCAGCTTGCATATTATGTGTTGCTCTTTGTAACCAGATTTGGCAGTGGGAAACTGTGTTTCTTAAGGCTCCACACAGTAGTGAACTAATCGTGAAAGAAAAAAGGGATTACGAGGATGTTCTATTGTGGCAGTCTCTCTCCATCTACATGCCTTCTGGTCATGTTTTATGTTATGCATTTTCAATGCTCTCCCTTTAGCTGTGTTTTAGAGAATAGAGATGAAATCGTACAGCATCATGTAATTTTAATGTCCATTATATATCCTTAAGATGACAGTCCCACCGTCACTTGTATCAGATAATTTTAAGGCAGTGGTTCCCAACCTTTTTTGTCTGATTCCCCCTGGATGTCTAATAACATTAAAGTGTATATTGCTAGAGTATTTTTTATACAATTGAATGTCAGTGTTTAGGACTGTTTAGTCAACTTTGCATTTGTCACTTTATGCTAATTATTTCAGCTGTTTATCCATTAATTTGATCTAATCTACAGTTTGCCTGTCTATTTGGAGTTGTTTATTTATTATTAGCTTACTTAATTAGATTAAAACTATACTAAACTAGTTTTCACTCATTTCATCCCAATTGTAACATGTGATGCTCAGATTTAGGCTACTCAGTAAAGGTACATTATTTGTCACATACACATGTAGCGAGATTCATCCTCTGCTTTTAACCCATCCCTGAAAGGAGCCACTGTACCCGGGGACCAATTCCACATTGTAGTGTCTGGTCGAACGGCACTGACTGGACACTACGTAACATGTTTTTGATGGTGGGTTTCCTCCAGTTGCTCCGGAGGAAACCCACACAGAGCATGCAAACTCCACGCAGAAAGGCCATGACAACCGGGGTTCGAACACGGGACCTTCTTGCCCAAATTTGTTGAGCTACAATACCTCTAGCAACTGCAAAAGTACCCCCTGAAACGCAAATAAGCTATCCCTGGTTGGGTATCACTGTGTCAAGGCAATTGTATTTTTCTGGACTGTGTTTTCCCAGTTTTGGGAGTGTGAAAGGTTAATCCTTAATATGCAGTACTCTAAGGCAGGGAGCTGCTTTCTTTCATAGTTTGTTTTCATCACCTCTGATGAATCCTAAACATGTATTTTGGGAACACATTATTTATACTGTTGTGTGGGGAGCAAGCTGTGTTAAAGATTGTCTCGGGCATGTTTTTCTCCCCCCACCCCCCATTTTTTTAATTCAGGATGATCTGAAAATGTCATCCTCTGTTAAAGTCTGCCCCGGGTCTTCGGTAACTCTCTAGCGGAGCGTTAAGAATTAGCAACGTAGCAAGTGCTATAGTGACATTATATATTCTTACTGAGAAGATTTTTCTTTATTTACAATGAAAAGGTGATTGTAGGTCAGATGCTTGGAGTCCATTTAAGCACTCTGAATAGTAAGTCTGGTCTGATGTTTTCTTGCTACACATAGTAAAGCAGTGATGAGTTTACAGGTTGTGGCCTCAGTGAGAGCAAACAGAGTCAAACTGGTCAAACTGCGGTAGTGATTTAATTACAGACCTTGTTGATGTGACCTTGTTCGCCACTGGGGCAGATGAAGACCTAAATGATTTGTTTTCCACATTGCCTTGTATTGCTAGACTGAATAATTTCAGTGAGCTTTTATCCTTTAAATACAAACACACGTTTGTATTTAACGGATAATTCTTGTTTGGCCCTTCTTCCTTATTAAGTATTATTAAGGTACTGTATTCCCACAGGAATCTGCACATAGTCCCCATAGCTGGAGATATCACGGCTCATTTTCCTCCCTTCAGAAGAAGCCATTTGTTGCTACTCATTTTTGCACAGTATGAA